CTGCAGCTTTTGATTGGTAGAAGCAGACCCTCCACATACCTCTATTTTCCAGGGACGTCCCTGATTTAGAGAAGATATCCTGGTTTCTGATTTGATCCCAGAATGACCTGCTTTTCCTTAGGATGTCCCTATTTTCATTGGAGAAATGTTGGAAGTTATGGAGTCATCCAACCCCTGAGCTGTCTGAAGATAGTCTTGTATAGAGAAGGGTTTTTTTAATGTTTAATTATGGCTGGAGTTTTTTAAAAAACAACTTTTTATTGGGTTTTATAAACACGAATGTTATACAAATAAGTATACCAAGTTTTCTCTTGTCATTTGTATATCACAAAACTAACACTATAAATGTGGAGTGATATCCACAACATAGGGTTCATTATTAGTGGTCAATGTATAAGTTCTTAGTTCATGAATTGGTTTAAACAAAGGGGAAACAGGGTAGAACAGAGTTTTTCTTTTTGTTAGGAAGAAAAGAGGGGAAAGAGAGGGTGGGGGGAATGGTAAGTGGGGTGGGGGTGGGTGGTTATCCTTCCATTCTTCTACTTAGTGGGGGGGGGGAGTTTGTGTCAGCGTTACTTGTATGGGTTCTCTTACTATTTGCTTGTTGTATTTCCATGGTGGTAAGAGAGGTTGGTGGTAGCTTAAGGTGTGGTTGGTTGTCTTTGGTTGGCTGCAGTAAGAATTGTTTTTGTGTGAGAGCGGGGTGTGAGTGTGTATTTTTGAATTAAGTTAGCCAGATTGATTTGTATGCTGTCAGCAGATTCTTGTTGTCTTGTTGGGCTGTGTATGTAATAAAGGGGAGCCATACTGGGGTGAAGGCGTCTTCTTCTATTTGTCCCCGTGTCAGTTTCAGTTTATTGGTTAGTTTTTCTAATAAGGCTGTTTCCCATACTATTTGATACCATTGGCCTATGCTTACTATTGACTAGTCTCTCCATTGTCCTGGCTATGATGTTTCTGGCTGATGAGAGTAGGTGGGTTATGAGCTCTTTATGATGTGAGTAGGCATTATTATCTTGGAAGATGTTTAGCAGGGCATTTAATTATGCTTTTATATATGTTGGAAGCTGCCCAGAGTGGCTGGGGCAATCCAGTAAGATGTGTGGGCTATAAATATTAACGTTGTCATTATGGAATGGGACCTCCCTATTTCCATTGGATAAATGTTGGAGGGTATGTAGAAGACATTTACAGAAGACAAAGAACTGTTTGCAGTTCCACTGATTGCAATGGGGAGGCTTCTGGCTGAGCTCATAGTAATATATTGGTTTCAACATGTGCTTGGGATTAAATCAAACTAGAAGGTATGATCTGTCCTCATGCTTGGAACAAGTCCCTGTAGGTTATGTCGCCTCACCAGTCTTATAGATAGAGCAGGGAAGGAGGAAAGCCAAGGTGAGGCTGCTAGGTCTGGGTTTGCTGGGCCAGGCTCAGTTCCCTCAGCTGGCTGAATTTAACAAGAGGTCAGTGCTGTGTGCACTTCAGGAGCAATCGCCAGGACCCAGGGTTCCTGGGTTCCCCACCCCGAACATTGCTGGGAGCTACAGAGAGGAAGCAGCGGCAGGGACGTGGGCACAGTGTGGGCATGGTGGTGAGTGTGCTTGGCTCTGTTAGTGCACCTGATACCACCTGAGGACTGCCATCAACTACTTAACTGCCGGTCTTCAGCACTGTTAGAACTTCTGAGAACTTCCAGTTAAATGGTAGAGAGAGAGTGCACAACTCATAGCATACCATTAATAATCCACGTGCTACTGGCCATCACGGAGCTGCTATCCAATGGTCTCTTCTTGGCTGCAGAAGGGCTTATTGTCCTCCCCTTTGTAGGCTACAGTTGCCACCAAAATTTCACCTAAAGTGAAATTTGAAGTGAATTTGCGGGAAGTGCCTCAGGTGACACATGGGATGCTTCCAGTCTGTTTGCTGGGAGGTTGCTGCTCCTCAGGTGTGCAGGTTTTTTTCACAGAATCTGCATCACATTCCATTCTTCCTGTTTTATTAATTGCTTACATTCTCTTCCTTGTTTTCCCTTTGACTTCTTTTTAAACCGACACAAACAGTCTAACTTGCTTCATTCACAGCTCAAAGTGCATTCTTGTTCCATATATACTATTGTTATTTTGGTGGTTTTAGTAGTGATGTTTAGCACAGATCGTTGAATAATGTCTTTATGTGATTTCCACAATTGCACATTGCTGTAGGGTTATGTTCTAGAATAATGTACTGAGAAGTGGGACACTGAGTTTTTGTTTCTATATTTATGATTTTTATGAATTTCACTTAATTATGGCATATCTATGGGCATGGCTTCCCCAAAAGCTTGAATTATAGCTCACTGATAAAGGAGGGATCCAATAATATATATACGTTGTTGAAAGGAATAGATTTAGAGTTTCAAAACAACTATATTACCTTGTATATGAAATAAAAGGATCCTATGGAGTGTGAATTTAAAATGTTCTTTTCACAGTTGGCTCTTCTACCCTTAGATTTACAACTATGGGTATTTCTTGCAAAGCCTTTGCAGATGGAAGAAATAAAGAATGTCATTAATAGTATGAGGGGTCGGAAAGCTCTGGAGCCAGATGGTTTTCTTACTGAATGGTATAAGACATATTCAGACTCCTTGCTCCTTAGGTTACTGCATGGGTGTAGTCGGGATTTATTTGGAGAGAGTTGGGGGCGGGGAGAGAACTGAGTTATCTGCAATGCAATTGGTCAGTTAAGTATTTTTATTTATTTACTTGATTTATGTGGGCAACTGTTCCCCTCTGCACTCTGCTGGCTACACTAATGGGTTGCTTATCTTTTATTGAAATGCTTTTGGATCGGGTATCCTGCCATCTTCATTGCATGGTATTCATACCTCTGTTATTCCCAAGCTTGGTAAAGTCCACGCTTGTTGTGCAAATTTTAGCCCAACCTCCTTAATGAATGTAGCTGCCGCAATGCTAACAACATTCCTTGCTAATAGACAGGGGCGGAGCAAGGTGGGGACGGACTGCCCCATGTGTAGCCACTGAGGGGGGTGACATTCGGTGTACTTCCCGCCTGCGACTCCTGCCTACCCTGAGCCATTGGGGGAAAGGGGGTGGTTGTGCAGCTTTTCACCACTACATTTTGACAGTCCCATACTCCCAGAGGAGGCAGGCAGGCAGGAGGCAGGGAGAGGATGGGAAGGAGGCAGATGAGCAAACAAATGGAGGGTGAAGGGAAGGAGAGAAGCAGAAGCTCTCTCAACTCAGGACCAAAACCCTGCAACTCCCCCAAAAGCTGAAGAACTTTTTCCAACGCTCCCCTAAAAAAAGCTCAAGAGCTCCTGGCAATGATAATGGGTAGATCACAGCCAGTCTTTTTATACTGTGAGTAGATTGCAGTCTCTTGGGAGTCCAACTAAATTTAAATGGGGGGGGGGGGAGTTGACAAGAAATTTTCCGCACCGGGTACCACCTGACCTTGCTACGCTACTGCTAATAGACTTCAGACTGTGATAGAAACATCAGTATACCCAGATCAGGTGGGCTTTATTCACCAAAGGCAGGGAGCAGAAGATAATTCAAGGGTGATCCAAGATGGTTGCTTTAAATAGCAAAAGAACTGTTCAGTTGCAATTATTTCTCTTGATGCTGAAAAAGCATTTTTACAAAATATAGCATTAGAGTCTATGTCAGGGGTAGGCAACCTAATGCCCATGGGCCACAAGTGGCCCACGGTGGTCGTTTAGCTGGCCCATGAGCCACCCCTGAATGGAGCCGCCCGCTCAGTGAGTCCCCGCGAGCTGCACTAAACTGGAGCAGCGTGGTGCAGGGACTTCCTTCCGCGGCGCCGGAAATTGTGTCTGCGCATGCTCAGATGCCGAAATCACGTCTGTGCAGGCACAGACACCGGAAATTGTGTCTGCGCAAATGCAGACACCGGAAATTGCGGCCACATGCGCTGACATGGGGTTTAGACACCACCTACCAGGTTCTTAAAAACAAAACATTAACAGTTAATAGAATGTTGTAGTTTAGCTACTTGTAACTAACAGAGCTATTATGTGTTCTTTCTTATGCCTGTCCTCCTAATTTATCTAGATTTCTTCTAACAGTAGTCTTGGCTACTGTATCATGGTCATGACCAGAATGTCAAAACTGGTTTTGAAAACAGTCAGAAGAGCCAAAATAGTATGGAAACTCACTTTAAAAACAATAATGTCTGTAATAAATTGATAATTGAATACAGAGGTAGGAGCATGCAGATTTGCTATGTTTTTCCCATTCTGCCCTTCAAACTATAATTAGGTGAAGAGATTGAACCAAGCACATTCTGAATAATACTACCATTTAGAAATTATGTGAGGAAGTACAGTACATCCATACTGTAGTAATGACTTTTTTTTTAATAGAATCGAGTTTCATAGCATATGTAAAGAGAGAAGCTTATATAAATGTGTTTCATTCTGCTTATGCCATTTTCGTTTGCTTTAATACTGACTTGCTTCCCCCACCACACCCAAAATGTGAGTATTCCCTATTTTTCAGCAAAAGTTACTTTTCTCACGAGGGTTTTATATTTTGCTTAATGCAACTGTTCCGCCTTTTCGCCCCTGTCTTTGAATTTAACTCATCCAAGTACCAAAAGCAGCCTACCATTTGGTGAAGTGGAAGTGCTTAACATGTTTGGAGCTTTCTGGATACCTACAGTTAGGTATCATACAATATGTAGGGCCTACATAGTGACATATTTGAGGCTTCCACATGTGAAAATGGTTCATGGAGGTACAAATAGTAGGAACAATTTGGTTTGGTTCATATTTTAATGTGAACCTACCTAATTCACTCTTCCTGAAACAATGTGAACTGAAACACAACTGATCCTTTGAAATTCACATTTCCACAATTTTTGTGATGCAGTTGTCAGACTAAAAAAATGTATACATAAATGCACCAACTAATGTGAACAAAAATGCATATATTATTGAAAGTAACATTGCAATGTGCAAAAGACAACAGACTCAGTTGTCAATAAATAATTCCACTTTAATGGCAAAGTAATAATTTAGACAGATACAGTGTGCACACTTGCAAAAAATATATGCAAGCTGGTTTACAAGCTAGAAGAACAACAAATCAATAGAAAATACATCATCCAGTTAAGTCTGATGACACCAAATACTTATTATTAGGGCTTTACAAAGACTACAAAACTTTTCAGATGATTTATCTCACTGTTTCTGTCTATTTACATGATATGTTACATCAAAAATGTACAAAATATAAAATGTATACAGACAAATGTTTCACAAACATTTTAAAGTTGTAAACTAGGTGGACTCATTGAGATGTATTGCAGGGAAATTTGTATTATGTGGTACATACATACAGGTATTTTGTGTGTGTGCGTCAAAATGGCAGGAATTCATGGGTTTGCTTATATGTTGTTTCAGACCACATATATCATAAAGAGCAGTTGTTGTTTTAGTCATCTGCCAGAGAGTGGCATGTCATTTAACAATATGAGAAAGTAATCTAGGATTGGTGCCTGACTTCAGACTACATTCTTTGTGCATAATATCAGAGTTTTATTTATTAGGGCAATAGCACCATGCAGGGGACCTGTAGCTTCAGTGCTGCAGCAAGGAAAACTACACTGATTTCCTTGACTTTGTTTTATAAAGTAGATGGGCCACAGGAGTTTGTAGCACCAGTTACATGTCCTGAAGGTCCTCACTGGCTAGCTGGATCTGGAAAGCAACCACTAGCATCCTATTGCAGTGAACGTGATGTGCTCAGAGTTGGCAATTTCAGGACTGTGGCTCTAAGTATACAACTGCTTCTCTACACAATGCCATAGCCCTTCTATTACTTTTATTTAGTTGAATCGGCATATCCAATTACTCTGATCAGTTTTCATTCAAACTGGTGTAGTCTGCCAGGATATACAACATTTTTGTATTTGCCTAAGATGTATTGGCTTTTATAATGTAGATTGAAACATGCTCACTCTAGCATGGATAGCTCCTGCATAGTCATAACAATTCTAAATACAGGACAAACACACCATTGTTTTTAAATATATATATTTTTAAAAACCTCCAGATTGTATGGTTTGCGCTCTGGATATTTTTAAATTTTTTATATTTTTTTTTGCAACATACAGGTAATCTCAGTAAATGAAACATCTCTTAACACCAACAAGATAAAATACAGTTTCTTATTTTTGTTGTTGCTGTCACTGTTGTTTGCTTTCATTTGTGCAAGGCTTTTTTTTTTTTAATATTACAAGACCCTCCCAGTAGACTGTGCAAAACCAACCCCCCTCCCCCTTTACAGTATAAACTTTTCTCTCAACCACAGTGGACAATCACTGTGTCATAATGCTGAATTTCTTCATGTACAACAATTGCAATCAAAACAGCATGCTTCAAACTAGGGGGGAAAAATGAAGAGGAAGGGAAAAGAATAAAGAAATATTTGTGCTCATGCTGCACCAAGTGCACCCAGCTCTGCTGGATAAGATTTTCCCCAAAACACCTCTCTTTTAATAAGCTCTTTTTCATAGAACCAAATGGACTTAAGCCAACTCTCAGGTTTTGTTATTAATCATTGTTTATTATTAGGAGTGGCTTCTGGGTCACTTGAATATTTTAGATGGTAATCTATTCACACAAGATAAAAAATACTATGTATATATATATATATAATCTATCTATATATCTATATCAATAGATCGTTCTTCTAGCCACTTCGTTAAAAAACATGATATACAGAGATGAGGCTACTGTGTTCACTGATGCTCTCTCGTTAGTAAATGAAGAAAGAAAACAGTGTAAATAATCAATGGTTTAACAAATTAAACCAACTGTAAAATTGTTCTAGAAATCGGTTTTAAGGCAGTGAGACAGCACCATAGGAAATGTTCTCTTTTTCCCCCCCACTGAAAAGGCTCGAAACATACGAAGCCCTAAGAAAGCCTTTACTCAGTGTCAGATAAGAATTGGTAAAAAAAACCCTTGTTAAGAGGTGGGCAGGTGTTTAAAAAATACCCTCGCGGCTAAAAACAAGTTGTATATAAAACAGATGATTTGTACAGGAAAACAACAACAACAACCCAGAAACCTTGGTGGACCACATCACTGCAAACTTGGCAGCTTAGTATCAAATTGGCACTTTTCCAGCATATATCACAGTAGCGTTTTCCTGGCAATTGCACAAAACTGTTTTGTGCTTTTATGGAGTTTGCTTTCTGTATTTTCTTTTTCTTTCTCCAACTCATTTTGGAATGGGCAGCAGTGTACAATTCAAACACTACCGTTGTGTCTTGTAATGAGTGCCACGGGGCACCGGCAGAGGTTAGAGGACCAGGATCGCAAAGACCACTAATGCAGCACCTCGTAGTAAATTGAAGTGTAAAAAAAACCAAAGGCTTGCATTGTAAACTTTTGAGACAGGAAGAAAGACAGAAAGAAACAACCCCAAGGAGATTCCAGTTTGGCTAACACATGTGCAATCTGCTTAGTTGTCCCCCCTCCCCCTCCCATTAAAAGGCCCTTTCCAGTTGATTGATGGAGTCTCACTCAGCTCCACTGATACTGAAATCTCTTGAAAATAAACTAATTCAAGCTTTCCATTTTGATTTGCTTTCCTGACTTTCTAGAGATAAGTCGACCGCCTATATATGACACAGCACTCACGCTCTCTCTCGGGCCACCCTGGCAGGCGCTGCTTCGGCACTGCAGCAGTTAAAGCCGGGACAGTTTAACCAGCATCCTATATAACCAGGCCCATTCCTCTCTAGAGAGTTGACTCAAGCGAGGGGTCCAGAATATCATCGTGGTGACTAGCAGTATCGCTGTCGCAGCTCTGTGTGCTGGAGTAGCTGGCTGCTTCTTTGAGCCTCATTAGCATGTGCATCTGAGGAAGAAAGAAGGAAATGCTGGTGTCATTGCTGTTAAGAAGCGAAGGCAACAGTGGTTGTGTGTGAAGACCCCCCAACCCCCCTCCAAAATAATTAATAATAATAATAATAATAATAATAATAATAATATACAGGAAACAGAATATTTGTTTAGGATTTTTGGCATTAATTTGGCCACAACTTTATTGTTTACAGGATGTGAGTAGTTGCTTAGCCATTGGTTCGGACTACCTGAACCTGCACCAGCAGGAACAGGACTGACAATTGGCACCTCCAGAGGTCAGTAAGGGAAAACACACTGGGGGAGCACAGAGGCGGATTTCCACCTCTTAGTTCACCCCAGATGTTCCCAGGAACTCTAGCATGGTCCTACCCCTGAGAGGGGATCAGATAGAGTAAATCGAGCCCTTGGATTCCTTTAATGGAATTCCCTAGCAGCAGCAACAAAATTGAGGGGCAGGCACAGCCAATCCATAATCCTCTCCACCAAAGGATGAACCAATACCTAACCGCCAACCTTACAAAGTTGTGACGATTTGTTACACGGTAGGCAAAAACCAAACACGTGGCTTTCCATGATTTGGAGGACATGATCTCTGCTTTCAAGCCTTTGAGCCGGCAACAGGGACATGTGAAGAGTGCAGCACTTTGAAAAATCAGTGCTGGCTGAGATGGCAAACTTTTGAATCCCTCTTCTTTTTTTAAAAGTCTCCACAGGCAGGGAGCAATGGAAACTTTGGAGAGAATCAAAGGCTGCAGGAATTCAAAGGTGTTTAAAGGACAGGGAGCTCTTGATCTGAGCCACGATCCTGAATCCATTTTCCCAATGCCAAGGTAAGAATAGACTAGGCTTTTGGTGTAAGAATACACTGTGGGGATAAAAAGGAATGCAATCGCTTTTGCATACACAGTCACACCATCTTAGAGAAGAAGGGGAGGTGGGGACTGAAGTGGAGTGGACTGAAGCCAGGTGCTGGATACAAGAGCACCATCTGCTGCCCAGGAGCCGACCTTGGCAACAGAAAATAGCATGCCACAGCTGCGAGGCTGGTTTCCAGAGGAGCCTTTAAGCACATCTTACTTAACATCAAGAGCCCCGGAGAGCTGTAAGATGCTCAGTGCCTAAAATTACTGTAATTATAGTTGGTATTTAGAAATCGTCCCTCTCGCCATGTTGCTCAGGGAATTGATCTTACACCACCAGCATTTTTAAATGGTGCATTATTTGAAACGAAGTGCTTTGGTTTTTCCGAGCAAAGAAAAGTAGGCTATGTGCTTTCTCTTGCCCCCTATAGGCCTATACCTTCTTCTCAGATTTATTTGGGTCTTATTAGCTTTACAGCGGCCACAACCATATAGTATGTCCCTCTGCAGGGTATATAGGTTGCTAGCCACAAGTCTTTGGGTTGAATAATGTTGTGCAGCTTGTTTATATATGTTAACATTTTGATTATGTTTGGGGGGGAGGTTGGTGGGATTTTGGTCATGGTTGTTTTATTTTATATTGCTTTGCTACTGATTTTTCAGCTGCCTTCAGTTCCTTTAAAAATTTTTTTGAATAGAAATGGTTCACAATTATTAAAAATAAAAAATACCACTAAAGTGGTGTACGGGAGGATCCAGCCTTTTAATCCAGCTACTTCTCAGGATCTCTCCCCACTAAACCTCTAATATTCACCTGGATATATGGGGCTTCCCCCCTTTTTTCGTTTTCACTCTTAAATTGTGATGGGACATCTGGAGGGTAGGTCAAAATGTTTGCAATTGGCACAGAAATAGACTGATATCCTGAGATTATAACTTCTTGATGTGAAGCTAAAAGAATAGTTCCCTTCAGGCACAAGTCCTGTATAAGATTAGATCCTTTTTTTGGCAGTATATGGTGAATAAAAGGGTAAAGGACCCCTGACAGTTAAGTCCAGTCACGAACGACTCTGGGGTTGTGGCGCTCATCTTGCTTTACTGGCTGACATTTGTCCACAGACAGTTTTTACGGGTCATGTGGCCAGCATGACTAAGCCGCTTCTGGCAAAACCAGAGCAGCACACGGAAATGGCATTTACCTTCCCTATTTATCTACTTACACTTTGACATGCTTTCGAACTGCTGGGTTGGCAGGAGCTGGGACCGAACAACGGGAGGTCACCCCGTCACAGGGATTCGAACTGCGACCTTCCAAATGGCAAGCCTTAGGCTCAGTGGTTTAGACCACAGCGCCACCCATGTCCCTTATACGGTGAATAGACACCAATATTATCTTGGGTACACTATATGGAGGCAGATGACAATTTAAAGCAACCATATAATAACCCAAGACTATTTGGAGGAAAAGTATATATATGCATGAGGAATGCTATTTTATTTTTTTTCCTCTAGAAAAAGAAGTGCTGGAATTCACAGTGAACACCTCCCTTGTTCTCTTATGACAATGGCGCTCACTGGAGTTCCAGCTGGAAAAAAACCCTTATGCATGAGGATTTCCTACTCATGATTCTGGGAAAGCTACTTGGGGAGTAAGGGTAATTTTAAAACCTCAAGTAATTATATTGAAATAAAAGAGCAGGAAGGTGGGCCCAGTGGCGGAGCTTCATGCTCCAGCACCGGGGGGGGGGGCAGAGAACAGGCAGGGCTGGTGCGCATCGTAGGGGAGGCGGGGGCAGCCGCAATGGCACGCTGCCAGGGGCAGTGCGCTCCCCCTGCACTCCTCTTCCTCCGCCAGTGGCTGGGCCAACACAAAACACGTGAGTCAAGAAAAGAGGCGAGAGTAGAAAGTTAACTGAAAGCAAGGAATGAAGGAAAGAGCAGAGACAGCATCATATGGAAAGAAGGGAGTCAAAAAAGGAGTGAGCAGAAAAACAGTCTAGGAAGTGCAATGTGGTACTTAATTGGAGAGCTGTGAGACTTACCATATTTTTTGCTCTATTAGACACACCGGACCATAGCTTTCCCCCCACCTCCCACAAGAGCCGCACACTCTGTCCCTTCCCCATCCCACAAAAGCCAGGGATAGATGTGCGAAGCCTCCACAGGGCAGCGGGATGAAGGCTCCCCAAGCCCTGCGGAGGCTTCGCGCGTCTAAGCCAGAAGCTAGAACAGCCAGCAGGATCGCAGCGCAGCGATCCCGCTTGCTGTCCTGGCTTCTTGCTTGGCCGCGTGCAGCCTCTCCTGGGCAAGGGGAGCCTTCATCCCCTGCCCAGGATAGGCTGCGTGCGCCTTAGGCTCCCCCATGTGCCGCACTTCCTTTAAAGAGTGAGCGGAGTGCATGTGCGGCTCTTGGGGGCTTTTCCCAAGGAGGGAGAAGGGCAGTCCTTCTCCCTCCTTGGGGAAAAGCCCTGAAGAGCCGCACACATGCTTCACACGGCTCTTTAAAGGGAATGCCGGGCAGAGCCTCCCGCCTGCATTCGCTCCATAAGACGCACACACATTTCCCCTTACTTTTTAGGATGGGAAAAGTGCGTCTTATGGAGCGAAAAATAAGGTAAGCAGACATTGATAATAAATAGCCAACCACCTTTTTGACTTGAACTTGCTGAAAAAGATTGCTTAACTGAATTTCTGTTTTTTCTTCTCTCCCCTCCAGCACCCAAATATGTTCTGGAGGTTCCCTTAATCCTCTGGAGCAGTTTTTGGTGGTTTGTGAGGGGGCTACAGGGAAATGGAGAGTAAGGATAAACTCTGCTGTGTGAGTAGATGGCCTCTCCCACTATGTAGGCTCTCACCAATAATAATAGCATAGTAATAATAATCCTTTTACCAAAGGATCTCCTTCTGAATCTGTCTGTGGAATGTGCTTTGAAGTGGTTCCTTCTTTGGCAGATGCATAACCTTCATAACCAACATCTTCAGGTCTCAACTGAAGCAATGATGACCAATCATGCTGCAGTGAACTCCATGGACAAGTATCTGCTATCCACTTTGAAGGATCTTCCCAAGGTGCTCGTTTGCCATACATCTAAGTGTCCATTGCAAAATAGAAAAACAAATGGGTCGTTTAATTTCAGTTGGAGAATGTTCAGCATGGTAGTGCAAGACCTTTTGGCCCAAATTTGTTGCTTGACAACAAAATGGGATGAGGTTCATTAACTCTCCCTTTTGCATTTTCAGGTGATAGAAACTCAACCTCACTGGGGCTGGCAGGCAATTTTTCTCCCTCCCCAGAATGATGGCATGTAGGGTGGGGGGAGGGAATGGCAGCTTCCAATGAATACCGTCATTTCTCCCCAGAACGCCTATCTGAATGACATTATGCCAATGACATAATGCTCTTCTAGTCTTTTCTGGGGAAGAAAAATGGCAGCTGGCAGTAGTGAAGAATGCCAGTGAGTTTCATGCCTCCATAACCTCAAAATTCCTCCCAACCCAAAATGCATCCACATTTTTTGGTCGATATATAGGATACAGTCAGAAGGGAAGCAGTTTTGTCTAGGGCAGGGGGTCACAGGCTTAAATTTCCACGTCCCACAGTCCCTATCCTGATCGGCTCCCCTTTTGTTTAAATATACAGTTAAATACAACACAATACTTGGCACAATGCATAGTTTCGTCACATATTAGTTGTATTTTCAAAGCCTGAAATTCTCAGTGCCATGAAGACGCCATTTTAGTGTCCTTGGATGGTTGTAGATGCTGCTCCTATTTTGTATTGGAATCTTTCTTGAAAGCACTTTCGAAAAATCAGTGTAATATTTAAACAATTCAAGATGCTTCAATTGTGACTTATTGACAAGCCAATATCTTTATAATTAAGGTAAAGGTAAAGGTACCCCTGCCCGTACGGGCCAGTCTTGACAGACTCTGGGGTTGTGCGCCCATCTCACTCAAGAGGCCAAGGGCCAGCGCTGTCCGGAGACACTTCCGGGTCACGTGGCCAGCGTGACATCGCTGCTCTGGCGAGCCAGAGCCGCACACGGAAACGCCGTTTACCTTCCCGCTAGTAAGCGGTCCCTATTTATCTACTTGCACCCGGGAGTGCTTTCGAACTGCTAGGTTGGCAGGCGCTGGGACCGAACAACGGGAGCGCACCCCGCCGTGGGGATTCGAACCGCCGACCTTTCGATCGGCAAGCCCTAGGCGCTGAGGCTTTTACCCACAGCGCCACCCGCGTCCCTATCTTTATAATTAACATGTTACAATTGATGTAACATGTTATTGCATTTATATCCCACTTTTTCTCAAAGTTGCTCAAGGTGGTGTACATGCTTCTAACCCTGTGAGGTAGCTTAGGCTGAAAGTCCTACCCAGGGTGCTTCATGGCCAAGAGGGATTTGAACTGTGGCTTCCAAGTACTACACCACACTACCTCTCAATGGTAAAAAAAAATATGGAAGTAGTTAATATTTTGGGTGAGTGCTAGTTGCCAATACAACTATATCACTTTTAGTGATTTGCCATAACCAGAAGTTTATAAACCCGAGGTTCAGTCTGAGAATGAAATAACAAGTACTTCAAAATTTCACATTGCCAGAACCACCACCTCTCTCCTATGCAAAAGCCATTCAGGCAATAAACCACTAAATACATAAAAGTAATTTTGTCTCTTTCTCCCTCTTCTTCTTTCTTAATTAAGCACAAAGGATTGCTAAAACGAAGCTCTAAATTTAGAAGGAATTCATTCTCCTCCAGATATGTAGTATGCAGCAAGAGGATGAAAATGGGCACAAAAAGCTGATGCTGATATATTTCAGTGTCCCCCTGTCACAGATCAGCCAGAAGTGTCTTGTAAAAAAGCTTTTTACACTTTTGGAATCTGTTGAAAGTCTTACCTGAAGTCCTTCTCTCACAGCTTCCATAATATATGGTACCAAGGAATAATTCCAGAGGTCTGTGAACCACACTCTGGAACCATCAACGTCTATAGGGCAGGGCAGAAAAAGGCGAGGACCTGAGATAGGAATTATTTTTTGTTAGAAAACATGAACTCAGCAAGCTGTTTAAAGCACAGAGGGGGGATATTATGGCCCTCCTGATGTTGTTGGACTACAGCTCCCATTATCCCTGACCACTGGCCATTCTGGAAGGGGTTGATAGGAGTTGGGTTCCAATCACACATGGTTGGTGGCAGATTTCCCATCCCTGAAGTTAACATTCCACATTCACGATGAGGACTATTCAAATAATTCATCAAAACACATAGTGGCATTTTCTTGCATTTAGCTTTCTACTTGTACATAAGATATGACAACATGTTTTGTAAAAAAAGAAGAAAAGGGCAATATCTGGCATTATTTTGGAAGTTTGCAACATAGCAAATATGAGCTCTGTTTTTATTAAAATCAAACTCCTTCATAGGTTCTATATTGTGTTTGTTTATGTTGGGAGAAATGACACAATACTGTACTCATTTCTTCTGAAAGCCAGGCATGCTGTTACATAAATATGCTGAACTTATTTCACTTGCTTGTCTATGTTGCAGCAGCTGCCAGCTGCTACATGGCAAATGTCAAAGTAAATTGTGGCCAATTGGGAATGCTTATAGAGAAAAGCTGAATTTTAAAAATCTCTCTCTTTTAAAAATGTAAAATTATGTTGCCTATCTTAAAAAGGTAAAGGTACCCCTGCCCGTACGGGCCAGTCTTGCCAGACTCTAGGGTTGTGCGCCCATCTCACTCAAGAGGCCGGGGGCCAGCGCTGTCCGGAGACACTTCCAGGTCACGTGGCCAGCGTGACATCGCTGCTCTGGCGAGCCAGAGCCGCACACGGAAACGCCGTTTACCTTCCCGCTAGTAAGCGGTCCCTATTTATCTACTTGCACCCGGGAGTGCTTTCGAACTGCTAGGTTGGCAGGCGGTTGCCTATCTTAGCCTTAGTCTTATCTGTCCCCGGTGCTTCTCTTAATGTCATTGGCTGCCATGCTCTGATGTCACAGAGGCCAACAGTGGCAGATGGATCATGGCCCTCTAATTACCATTGACTTAGTGTATTTGACATCATAGAAGGACAATAAAGCATAGTTTAGTGCTAAGGAAAACTGAGTTGTTATTTTTACAATGCTTTAGTTGCTTGCAGGCTAGGACATTCCCAAGGACGTTCTGACCATAAATTCAACTGCACTAGCTAAGCCTTCACCTCAAACACTATCCACCATTTTTGTTGTTATTGCTGTGGCTTAAAAAAAAGAAGGGGAAAACCCCTCCCACACATCATATTTAAAGCTAAGGGAACCCCTCCCCATTTATTTATTTTTTAAAAAGAAAGCCATTCACAAGTCACTAAATATTTATCCACCCAGTGGCAGGGCTTCATGCTCTGGCACCGGGGGGCGGAGAGCAGGCGGGGGAGGAGCGTGGCGCCAGGCAGGGGGGAGCCGCAATGGCACCCCACCGGGATCGCGCTGCCAGGGGTGGTGTGCTCCCCCTGCACTCCTCTTCCTCCGCCAGTGCACCCACCCCACTGTCATGGCGGATGAATGGGCCTGAGAAAATGGGGGTGGGTTACATCTCAGTTCTAAAAACAACCACAGATCATGTTGAAGTAACGGCAGTCTTGTGAATTTGTTCACAATGTCCTCTTGCTCCACTCTCTTGGCTGATATCCCTGTTTTAATTTGTGAAATAAATCTACAGCTGTGCACTAGTACTGTGCTAATGAAAGTCAGAAAACAAGGGGAAATATGTTAAAGGGGCAGAAAGTTAGAAAGAATCCCATAAACCTTTTGAAAAATGGACAAGCAGGAAAAGGACAAAGGAAGAAAAAACTCAACTAGCAAACTGCAGTTGTGTAGCATGAGTGAGCAATTACATATCCTTTCCATTTTAGTAGGGTTTTTTTAAAACTATAAGCAGCATTACCAAGTTTGCCAACCCAAGCTCCAGCTCAATCCACTGCTAAATGTTTTGTTTGAGCACAAAAGGTCAGCTGCCAATTTAATTTGACATCAGTGAAGCAGACTCACGTTAAGCCTGTAAGTTTAGATAAGCCTCAAGATCCCGTTTTTGTCCCATAATTTGCATTATTAATTGAAGAAAGGCCTCACCGATGGTTACATCAGAAGAACTGTGCGTTTCTAAGAAGCTGTTCAGATGATGCCATGTCTTCGGAATCCAGTCAATTATTTTGATGAGGTCATTATTGCGTGCGCTCCTCTCTATTTCTGTCTCAATAAGTTTCCTTCTCAGATACCTGGATAAGAACCCTTTGACAGGCTCCATGTGGTTGGCACACAGCACCCACCTATGCAGGCAAAGAATCAGAGAACAGATTCACATTACAGGAACTCTGGGCAATCCACTAAAATGGATAGATTGCGCCTCTTCACATACTGCATAATTAAGCTACAAACAATATCATTATCATCGGCCGATGTGATAGGCACAAGCTTAACTGGCTAAAAAGAAAATATGAAATAATTACGTGGAAGATTTGGGCTTCAGTCCTCTAGGAGACCTGACAGCATCCTCTGTGTTCAGAGATAGTGTATCTCTGACTGCCAGATGCTAGGAATTATCAACAGGGGATGGTGAGCCCTTCTTGAGCTTGCCTGTGGCACTCGGTTGGCCACTGTCTGTAAACAAGCTGCTGAACTAGAAAGTAGAACTGCCACAGGAGCATGATTCTTAAATTTCTTCCTCATAACTCATAGATTCTCTTCAATATCAGGCCCTAAGCTCAGTGAGAAAGGTAAAAATTTTATGAACTGTCTGTCTATCCACATACCGGTATATTTTTTTCCAACCCTGCAAAGGTGACCTTTTTGACATCAGTATCCCAAACTATTTGGACAGAGTGCACAGCAGTTTTATCACCTTGGTGCCTTGGAAATGTGGTGAAAAGTTACTAAACGCCACTTGGCATTTAACTTTTGTTTTATTTTAGGACTATCTGGAAACATATCTACGTGGTGGCTTCCTGATATATCCACATCAGAAAGAACAGACCTGTTACAACACACACATACACCATATATATATAACCTCAAAGGTTTAAACCTAGATCAGAAGAAGCATTTTTAAACACATTTACCTGAAATTTTGATGCAGTTCAAGGTTAGGTGAAGATGAAACGCCCTGGTTCATAGTTCCAATAATATAGGGACTACAGAAATAAACAGAGCTGCCAATTAATTTAACACATTTACATCTTGTCATTTATTTGTTTTTAAATGTTAGGTGGAATTGGAAAAAACCCCAACATAAAACCACCATTAAAATATAATAAAATATCAAATTCAGGAAAACTATAAAATCATTGTTAACCCCCCCCTGGATTATTATTAGGTTTTATTATATTTCTTGCAACATTAGTTATTGTTATGCTTTGGGTTTTCTTGTTATTGGCCTTTATCATTTCTTAAACAAAAACATGGGGTATATATGTAATAAGTACCGTATTTTTCGCCCTATAGGACGCACTTTTTCCCCTCCAAAAATGAAGGGGAAATGTGTGTGCTTCCTATGGGGCGAATACAGGCTTTTGCTGAAGCCTGGAGGCGACCCTCCGGAGCCCGGCGCGAAGCTGCGCCAGCCTCCAGAGGGTCGCGCAGAGCTGCCTGCCCTCCTGGGGTCCGCGCAGCTCTGCGTGACTCTCCAGAGCCCGGCGCCAAGCCGCGCCAGGCTCCAGAGGGTTGCGCAGAGCTGCGAAGCCTCAGGTGCACTGAAGAGTGCGCCCGGGCTTTGCGCAGCTGTCCGCAAGCCTGGGGAGACCGGCGCGGCTCCCTAGGCTTGTGGATAGCAGGCTGTTCTGGGGGCTGGGGTCGGGGGAAGCTCGGGCTTCCCCCGCGCAAGCCCCATGCCTGGGGGGGAAATAATTTTTTCCCCTTTATTTTCCCCCCAAAAAAACTAGGTGCGTCCTATAGGGCGGTGCGTAAGTCCGGTAAGTAAAAATACGGTAAGTAAAAATCAAAACATGGCCAAAAATGAATACAATGTTTTCACCTGACAACTGCTGGGCTGTCTCCCAAATCCTGCCTACCCTGTTTACCTGTCTGTCAGTGTTACAAAGAAACCAGTTCTCTCTCAGATTGTCACTCCCTAACTATCAAAGGCAGGGCAGCCAGAGAAAGGCCTCTGGAGATCTAATGACCAAGAATGTTCATTTTTAATGTCCTCTTCCTTCTGTTCATTTTACAGTGTGTTAATTTGCATTGCATAAAGGAATTTTGTGTGTGTCAGCAATGACTCAGCTGAGCTTATTTCTACCACACACTACAATGTCATCTTTTTCTCACTGCTGCCACTCTACTGTTTATCAGGCGTTACCTTCACTTCTGTCATCTCTCTAAAACGGGTGTGTAATGGCCCTGGGACACACCTGCAGACAGCAGGTCCTGATCAGTTTCATTTCATTCTAGGCTAGCAGGGCTTGGATTCTATAATGTAGAAGATTCATAACTGGACTCATAAACAAACATAGCTTGTCACTGTTGCCAAGATCTTAGAGACAAGCTATGCTTGTTCATATGAATTTATAGGGTGCAGTTACTTATATGAAATCATATGAAGTGCTTATTTGAAGTGACAGCAATTTATAACAGCCATATCTATGATATGCAGAATATTAAGCTTTCACTGCTATTGAGAATACAGGTTCTTATTTAATTGTGTTGTGACATGCACAAATAAATGCTTTAAAGCTTTTTGGATTAAAACTCCCGTCAGCTGCAGCCAGCAACCTGTACTACACCAATGACTTACACTCAGCATATTCCAAACAAGGTAAAGAGCAAACCTACCATTTGTTATATTTACAGTTGAGGAAACCATTGAAGATGTCACTCAAAGAACCAACATGATGAAGGTTGTCAAGAATTATTACCACAGGAAGGTCAGCACTACTGTTATCAGCACTGCATTGTTCAGCCAAATTGGCAAGGTATTGTTGCACATCCTTAAAGAAAAGAAGGAAGAACCCAGTAAAACAAAAGGTGCTCAACTAACACCCTCACAGTTGCGAAGCTTCCACTAAAACGAATTGTTGCTTAAACCATTTTTGACAATGTCAGCCTGAGGTACTTGCTCTGAGCATTCTTCTCTTTTTTCCTTTTTTAAAAATTGGTTTTCAGTAACAGGATCCTAGTTAAGTCTAACCATCTGAACCACAAGGGAGGAAACCTTACAAGACGTATCACACCTAAGAGAGTTGGTTTCTGCTTGCCCCACCCTGACCTCTGTTCATGCAGAAGAAGGTGTAAAAGGAGCTTCATGCAGGGTTTCTGAGTGGAAGTGTCCCACACATAGAGTTGTATGTGTGTAGAACCCCCTTTTACATACTTTGCTGAACATGTGGTGGCTAGAGATGGCCCAAGTTGGCGGATTCCAATTTCACCTTCCATAATACAACTGAATGAGCAATGGAATTACTCATTCACTTTCTAGGTAAGATGGAAGAATTTCTTCAATCAAAGTAATTCATTTTCTCTAAAAAGCTGCAGGTTGTGAATTAGGTGGGGCATCAAATACACAATGTACGAGTGTGTTGGTTAAATTTTTGAAGACAGATTTTTTTTCATGTACATCAACACTGGCACAATCTTTGTAACATGACAGAAAGCATGTAAATGGTGGGATGATAAGCTTGATATTGCAAGTTTCTGACTGTGTCATTTTTGATCCACTGTGAATACTGAAAAATTTACATATTCTGAATGGTTTTGAATAAATGTTGTTTTTAAAAAGAAAAAGAAAAAAGCAGAGATTGGAGATTTAACTTTCAATATGCTAACTGATGCTGATAAAACACCTTGATTTATTTGTAAGTATTTGCAATCACAAATGGCTACTGTATTTAGACTATGCTGGGAAATCCTAAATAAAAATAAAAAGAACAAAAGGAAACACCAGCAATTACATAAGTCCATGGCATGTAATGAAACATCTGCAGTTTCTTAAAAACTGTACAGTTGATAGCTGTTGGTTCTTTTTATGTCTTACCTTGCTTGATTTGTGATCTACATTAAAAGTAGCAATGGCATCTTCCATTTTTTTCCTGCCAGACTTCGTTATCACATATTCCGCAAGCCTGTTGGCTAAATAGGTCTTCCCAGTGCCACTAGGTCCTGACAGGATAATTCTGTGATGCTCCATCAGTAAGTTAAAGTACCGTTGGCTAATTGGTTTAGGAATTAATGTATCAAACACAAAGCTGTCCAAACTATTTTCTTCTACTCCTGAAAATTAGATAGGGGGGAGAAGAAATGGTAGGGGGTGAGGAGAGGAAATCTATTTTTCTCTGTCTCATTGTTTTTGGCAAAACATGGAATTATTTAAGAGAAGGAACTTTTAATACTTGCTCCCCCCCCCCCCCGCTTCTAGTTTTTGCAATGTTGACAGCAGGTAGATGCCCTTAATACAAACCTTTCTTCCAGCATCTGAAAAGCACTGGAAGTGCACAGACCTTTCCTTGGGGCCAAAAAAAGATTAAACAGTGCCTTCGCCACATGACTCAGTGAATAGTAGCAATGCAATCAAAGCAAATGTGAAGCGAAAACTCATTGAGGGAGTGATGTATATCTGAAATGTTTGAGGCATTTAAAAGAAAAAGGTCAAAGCGACAGCAGCAAGGGTTAGCAGGAGAGAGATATCACACCAAATGACACAAAGTCTTTTTGAAGACCCTGAAAATAGAATGCCCCCATGGCTATATGAAATATTTAAAGTCCTTATCTGAAGTGATTGATTTGGAATTCTAACCGTTCATTGTTATATTAAAGTCCTCTTCTGTACTGGTTTTAGATGCAAAGCAAAGCAAAGCAAGTCATCATCAGTCTAGGGTGGTGAAGTGTTAAGGGTGCAAGAGTTCTTGAAGCTTGAAAGCTTGAATCTAACCCATCTCAAAACTACACAACTGCATCCTCTCCACTCATCACTGAATTATTCTCTATACAGCCTCCGCCCCGCCCCCGGTGTTATCATATTTACTCATGGTGTGCTAGACTGGGGTCATATGGGGTGAGGGAATTACATATTTAAAAGAAAGATGGCTGCTGCCACATAACTCCTTTGGATGGAAAAGGACCTTAATATGTACATGTTAACTATAAAAACACCAGATGGCTTGATGCAGATTTTGAATACGATAAATATTGTTACATGCCACCCTAATCTCTGAAATTCCAGGGGTTTCAGGTGCTTATCCCTATTCGTGTTTCCTTTTGGGAATCAGACATAGCAAATGTTGTGAGTGTCTTTATGATACATGGTTTGTTTACACATCTATACAACCCGAGCCTATGATGGAGGGGTTCACAGTACTGTATTAACACCTCAAAAGGGTATTGCTTCTCCCATAATTCCAGCCTTCAATTCAAACAGAAATCGAACATTGCTGTCTGACCTTCTGCTTTTTCTCTAGTCTCCAGATCACAAAGCAGCAAATTCTGCCCTAAAAACTCAGGCTCTGTCCTTCTAAATGAGTGTTGGAGGAGGGGCCCCACCCATTTGTCATCTGGCACAGAGCACCTTTCTTTTGTTCTGTTAATGGCCCATCACCTAGGCTGGCCTGGCCACTCCAGCAATTGAATCTGTGCTGGATACAGGAATTAGAAGGAGGCCCAGGCATTCAGCCTAACCCCCACCCCCAAAACATCATAACAATATTTATGGACAGCTACCAAAAAGAGGCCCTGCTTGCTTTAGGGTTCCCATAAATTCAGAAGCTCATTTTGCATAGTTAACTTTACTTATAGCTGTAAATTTAGTAACACAACTGGGATGCTACCCAAGAGCATGTATGTGTTTGTAAGATAAAGGAATTATACTGTGCTAAAAAGAAGCTTCAAGGAGGAAAATAAATGCAGAGGAAGGGAATGAAATATAGCATAATTTTACCTTTAAGGTTCACAGTGATTATATTATTATCTCCAACCAGATACCCACAAGGTAGCAATTCAGGCACTTCTTGGCTTTGGGATCGAATGACATCACCTATACAATAACTAGCAATACAGTCTGAACCTAAACCAAGGCTAGTAGCTGGATCCACTCGGAAAACATATTCCTGAAATGAGAAAAGACAAAATACATATGCAGCAGCCATTATATGTGACACAAGGATGGAAGAATTAAATGCACCCACTTGTTTAAATGTCACACTCATTTCCATCATTTACAGATAAAGAACACTCACTATGCTTTAGGTGTAAATGTCAGAAAGCATTTTTTTTTAATATTTCCCACTGGGGCTCATACAATCTTCAGACATTTTGACATTTACCATAACATAAAATATATGAAATACTCATGAAGCAATGAATAAAAGGGAATCAGATTAAAGAAGGGGCTTAACAATACTTTAAACAAGAGAAGAGCTGAACTGAACTGAACTGGGTATTTGGCTGCACATTAAGTATACAAGTTGGCACATTGCCTATCTTGCGTCCAAGAGAATGTGTGGTTTGCATGCTGATGCTCATCCAAACATACATTCCAGCTTAGCAACTGGTTTTCTGAGATCATCAGAATTTAAGATAAAATGGTGCTAGCCATTTTATGAACAATTAGCTTCAATGGATGAAGGAAATTTTGAATATGTATGTAGTGCAGACATACCCCGAGGAAGAATTTTATGCCATCTTAAAGAACATCATGAAAGAAGACAGGTTCAATTTCTACACTATAGTTTCTCCCATATTGATGTGTAGATACTCACATTCCATTTAAAGGCAAACATTTTGTTTCTGTGTACATTGACCTCCATATATATGTATATCACAATTCTGATAGCATCAATGCACAGAGAGAATAGCCCATCCTAAGCAGAAAACACCCTATCTGTAAAATGGTTCTTACAAACTTGGATGTTGTAAAACTAATCAATATTTCTGGTCTAAGGAGTGACAAATTCAAATTTTACACTGGCTGTATAGCAGAAAAATTAATTTGGCAGCAGATCTTCACACTCCCAATGACTCTGAGGAGTCATCAGATAAGGATATCCCTGGCCCAGAAATGGGGTCTTCACAGCAGCTGCATTGTTTCTGGTTGGCTCCAGACAGTCCTCTCCATCTTCCCCAGGGCAACACAAACAGAGGAGATGGAGATCCAGGCAGAAAGTTTAGAGCCACCAACAGAGTGGCTGGCTAGCTGCGCATGAGGCTGTGTGAAAAGGGTAAGTGCATGGAAACAGCTGCTCAGACCAAGCCTGACATGAGAGCCAGGAATGGGTGTGACACAGCCAGCTCCTATATAAGCTCCCAATCTGAGTTGCTCCATTGCTGAAGCATCTGCTTCTACCCAAGCTCCAGCCTACCTGGCTTGGGAAACTGGGGGGGCAGAGCCGTAGCTGGGTGATCCTGCGCCCTGGTAGAACCATCCAGATTGCACCCCCTAGCCTTCTTTCCGCCTCTGCTCCAACCCTCCCCCTTCCACCCATTCAATTCATCCTCTGTTAAAAACCATTTCTTATGAGGCAATAATCAATATTTATGGACATATTTTGCGCTGCCCCCCCCATCGCCTGCCCCTCTGGTGGGGGCCCACCTCACCAGTCCCTAGCTATAGCCCTGCTGTGGAGTTGGACTAAAAGTGCTACTTCAGTCAGCTGGCTGACCATAAACACTCCGGAATGTGAGGCCCCAAGGTGACCTGTATTGAATGGGTTGGAGTGGGGTTGTAGAGCAAACATGAGTAGGGTTAGTTTGGTCAGAATCAAGTATACACTTCCAGTAATTTACTTGGTAAATGAACCACTATAGCCGCTAGAAGGCCGTGAAAATTTGTGCCCCAGGCTTTTTAGATTCGTCCAGCCATGTACTATCTGAAACCAAAGGGGTACATTGGTTGCCAGATGTGAATCATATTAGCATTATTTTCAGCTCTCCTACCCCACTATGGCATTTTGTTTCCTTCATGGTGGAAGAAGTAAAAAAGGAGCCTCTACCTTCCTAAAAGAACCGATTCACTGCATATAAAAGCCCTCCTTTACCTGCCCCGATCTATTTGTTTTGGCAAAGCTGCGAGTAATAAGAAAATTAAACACCAGGCAAACATTACAAAACCTAGCCTAGGCTCATCCTTCTGAACTGACTCAAAAAAGTCCTACCTTAAAGAGCCGTCTGATTACACCATCTAATACATCCCATTTTGTTTTACCACTGACTCCAATGGATCCTATCAAATATGCCTGCAGTTTTTGCTCCTGTAAAGAGAAGAGGTATTCAGGCGAGAGATGTGGAAGAACTTACACAATTAAAGTATTTTGTAAGACTTACTGGATATTTTTCTCACAGAAGAAGACATTATCCTCCTTTGAGATATGCCAAAGTTATCACAACAAAAACTGATGCAAACCAAATACTAATTAAGATATTAATTAAGATATACAGCTGTGCATGCAGATATTTCTGGAAATTAGTTCAGTGATGTGCGAACCTTTTATTTCATCTAATGCAAGATCGAAGGTTGAAATGGGAAACCTTCTGTGGCAAATTTGTGGGGACTACTAACATATAGCCCACAATAGGCCTCTTCATTCAGAAGTAGCTTTAAGGATAGGTAGGTAAGTACGTTTCCTATCTAACAAAAGCATGCTGTGACATATATAGACCCGAACTTTTATGAAAGGCAGCAGAACAATTTGCTGTTTATCATCAATTAGAGGCACTGCCAGGATGACACAAATATAGGTACAAGGTGTGATAAATTAAAAAGGCTGTGGTCAATGTTCCCTGTTGAACTCTTAATTGAATATACTACTGTGTAGTACAGCCTTTGTAACAGCAGAAACATAAGGACAATTATGATGATGAACACAGCAATAAAACCTGGAAGTCAAAGTACCTTGGATCGACCATAGCCCTTGTTTATTGTGACTATAATTTTAACATTCTGGCCTTCTTTATGGAGACTTCCATCTGTAACATCTTCAAGTAAAATATCTAACAAGCAAGAAACAAATAAAAACGCCCTTTTAAAATTTACTTAGCTTGGCAAAAGAGACCCATTTGATTTTATTTGTAATTCTAAAGTGTACTTTAAAAAAAGATAAGCCCGATATATATTCCAACTGCCACTTCTCCTTTAATCTTTTGGCAAAAGCAATGCATAATGTTTCGGGATTGATACACTACTGCCCAATTGGGGTTACACTAAAATCTTGTATATCAGAATAATTTTCTGTGGGGCAGCAATCACTTCTCCAAAAGGAAAGACCAAAATAAAAGGCTTAAAAATGAACCAAGATGTTCCTTTTTTTGGACAATAGGTGTGACACTTTAGACTTCTCTCTGTCTTATTTGTTTGAGCTGCTTCCCTCAATCTGAGTCATTGCTAAAATCAGGCAGAGGTGGGAGCAGGTAAGTTTCTCTTACAAATGCCTTGTATCCTGGGTTCTACAAGGACCAGAGGGTTGCTTTTTATACTTCAGAATATCTATACATTTTAAGATATAAAAACAGATGGTGCCCATTCCATTCCATTCGCTGAATCTAGGGTTTTCCTGCAAGTATGAAACTCCAATGCATCACCTGCAACTTTAAATAAGAGACTATTTTGGGGGTTGAATCCAAAGTCACCTGCCAAAGATTCTGAAGCCTTGGAGTCAACCCTGCGCTACTGTCGCCCTTTAAAGTCTCAGACATGGCAGAAAACAACTAGTGGTAGAAGAACCTACAGGGCTAGTGAAGGTGACAAGCCTTTATTTTAACATTTGCAGAACTGAACAATAAAACACCAAAACACAATTACAAATATTGGCAAATGTAAATATGTATACTAAGTGTATACATCCTTTTCCTAGGCACCATTTAAAAAAAAATGCATTTAAATACCTCCTTTCTGCCAAGGCACCCAAGGTGGTTTTACAAACAAGTGGTAGAGAATATTCTCAAGCTGTCTCCAGGAGCATATGACACTGTCTCCCAGAACTCATTATCTCCCACCTAGGTGTTACCATATTAGCCCAGCACACTGGTAGTGTGGGAGAGGGGGTTTATGGGTTTGTGTTTTGTTCTTGTTCTTATCATGCATTTTGTGTTTTTATTTTGTATTTTTATGTTGTCAACCACCCTGAGATCTTCAGATGAAGGGTGGTGTACAAATTTAATAAAACAAACAAATAAATAGTGAACAGCTTTCAAAATTTAGGATTAACTAGATTTCTCTACAGTTTGACAAGAACTGCATGTGCACATGCAAGCAAAACGATCTGGTAGGGCACTTGAAATGATCTGGTAGGGCAAATTAAAACAATAACAACATGTATTACCTGATGTCACTGAATCAGTGATGTTCAAGTTATTCAGAGAGAGACCTAAAGATTGTCGCGAAGAGGAGGACGATGTGCTGCTTGAGGACTCTGAGCATGGCCGGCCTGGCTTTGCAGTGTTTCCAGTCTCTGCCTTCAAGCGATCATTTTCTGCTTTCAATATCTCAATCTCATTCTAGCATTTAAAACACAAGAAATCAACATTTTAAGGTGAGGAACGGGGCATTTAATACCGCTGGGTGCATTATGGATATGCATAATTTGTTAGCTAGAAAACTACTTATCGGCAATGCAGCATTTTCTATGGTATGGTACATCCACTGGAACTTTAAGTTGTTCTCATCTTTGGAACATGCCACAAAACTGTTGCGTGCACTATAAAATTTTACCTCTCTAATTCCATGGCAAATAGACAAGATAAAATCAGATCCCGAAAACTCAAGTTAGGCTGCATCTAGGTGGCAGTTTAAATGAACACATATGCACATGTACTTCACATTTGCACTGTACCTATATTCCAAAGGTCTCCTACCTGTCAGAGTCTATTAATACTGCAGTAAATGTAAGACCAGCATCAGCAGTGTAGCATGGCTGGCCAGAATAGTGCTACAATGGCACAAAATCAAGTTCAATATATTGCAGACAAATGCTTTGTCAGCTTTCTGCACGCCGGGAGATAAGTGTTGATTCATACATGCTCATTTAAAATCATGACATATCATATTTTACCACCACACACACACACACTGGAACATTGAAATTAACCATTTCTAGATCTCTATGATGTATATTTTAGAATTCTATTCCTACTACTACATGGGCAATTTCACAATACAGTGGTACCTTGGGTTGCAGACACCTTGGGTTACAGACACTACAGGTTACAGACTCTACTAACCCAGAAATAGTACCTCAGGTTAAGAACTTTAGCTCAGGATGAGAACAGAAATCGCGCAGTGGCAGTGGGAGGCCCCATTAGCTAAAGCGGTACCTCAGGTTAAGAACAGTTTCAGGTTAAGAATGGACCTCTGGAACCAATTAAGTTCTTAACTCAAGGTACCACTGTACAGTAATGGACAAGTATCTCTGGATCAAAACACAACTAAGCCCTTTTCAGGCATTCACTCATGCCGTTAATCACATGGCAGGGAACAGGAGGGCAAGATCCATTGTCCGGGCATGGAAAACATCTTTAAAGAGGAGAATTGCTGTATACATTTGGCTGTTCTTGTGATTGGGGATGTTTCACAGTCAGTAATAACAGAGCCAAGATGCTTAAGGAATGTCACATTCCTAGTTAAATCTTATGCAGTGTTGAGTGATTACCAAATGTACAACAATAGCATGGAAACTGTTATGTACTGAGTTGAATAGGATCCAAAATGCAGCAGTCTGATTGGTCCTAGAACAATAGGATCCAAAATGCAGCAGTCTGATTGTACCTAGAACAATAGGCTCCAAACTGCAGCAGTCTGATTGGTCCTAGAACAATGCAGCAGTATGATTGGTCTGCAGGAGCCACCCAATCCAGCTCCAGGTGGAAGTGAATCCACAACCTGATTGGCCTACAGGAGAATCCCGGAAATAGCCAATCACGTGCAGCCCATTGTGTAAATAATGTATATAAAGCAGATATTTTGGGGGAACTTTCATTCCTCCTCGCCACTATGAGCTGAATAAACAGCATGAAATCCACTCTCGACTCCGAGTATATTTCAGAAACACAGGTAGTTGTGAATTCCTCAGACCAAACTAAAAACAAGGAAGTCCAAATTTCTGATTAAGCTGTATGCTGATGCTCTAGCCTTTTATAAAAACCCTGCATTAACATTTTCAAAGTTAAGAGGAAGTAAAAATAGGATGTGGAGGACTGAAAATGACAGCTAAGCAAAATTAAAGGGTCAATTAAGCAAGGAGCTAATTAAGCAGTTGGAGAATTGCAGCACTGCCAAGCACCAGATTGCTATGGTGACTGTTAAATTTGCTAAAAATTGCACAACTCCTTGCAATAGTTTTTGGGAAATGGAAGAAATCCATAAAGTAAGGTCCAGTTTAGTGGTCCTCTAAGACTCTCTCAATTTTGATGACAGCAGCAGAGAAGAAAGTGGACACGGCACTGGATGATAACCTCACCCCCAGCTAATGTATATTGATCAGTTTAGGAAGGGTGCTGTGTGCCTGTGTGTTTGAGATTATACATACACACATACACAAATAAACATATCCTGTGTGCTAGGCAACTTCCTAGATTCCTAAGTGATCACTCCCCTCCAAAGTTATTAAAACTCAACCCTGCTCTATAGCAACATTGCATTATCTTATTGTTGATGTAGCTTTGAAAAACGTACCATGTGTCCCTTGGCAGCATTTCAAAGGAAGATGCTGAAACTGTTTCTGACAGTTTTGCTTCGCCTAGTATTAGAATCTTTGCTGCTATTTGTGAAGGCCCAGAACACCTCTGCTTCGTCTTCCTGGTTTATATGCCATTGCTTATTATATGACCCATAGCTTGCTGTCTTTTTGATTTGAACAGAACTGCTCAGTTCTGTTGGGGTTGCAAGCCAAACACTAAATGTGTCCTTACATTATAGTGGTAGGTTGGAAAAATGTTTAAGATAAAGAATCAGGCCATGGTGCCAGTTAAAACGCCCCAGTTTTATTATATGTGGATTTTTAATCCACCTTTCAAGCCACAGCCCTCTCAAATTGGCTCACAGAATAAAACGAAGCAAAACAAAACACAATTAAATATGCAGCACAATAAAGAAAACCACTGGTGACCATGGGGATGTCTTCTTAATGCAAAAGAGAAGACAACACCAACAGAGGAGGAAAGAGTTAAATTCCCCATTCCTGCCTACTCTAGTCCAGTATTAAAACACCCACCCACACCAAATTGATGCTATTTGCATTTTTAAAACCTGCACATTAAACGCAAAGGCACTTTTAAAGTCATATCTAGCTTGCCTCCCATTCACTCAGACATTTTGGCACCCCTTGTCTGCTTGGCTGGACAAACAACACCTTGAAACAACGTGTCCTTTGCAGACACAATGCAACCGTTCCAAATATTATGGGGGAAATCTACCACCCCAAAATAATCCAAGTACTCAGGAGGCAGTTTCACGATGCGGAAAGCAGAAGATGCAGCATGCCAATCACACCTAATAATATTATTAACAAATATAAACTTGGTATGTGTAAAATATAATGGACCTCTGTCTTCAAGCCAAACTAGTCGCTGCTTCTGGTTTCTGTTTACAAGCCATATTAGTCTCTTGCTTGTTTTACTGCTATCAAGCCCTTCCTGTCGCCTGTGCTGTAAGTTACAAATGGATCACTCTGACCCTCCTCTTAGGCGTTAGCATTCTAATCAGCACTGTGTCCTTTCCTCCCATTGAGGCTCCTAATGTGTTTCACGTGACCATTTTTACAACTTGCACGTACTCATTTAAAAACACAACAGCCAGAAACCTACAGTTCTGCAGCATCACAACAGCTTAGCTCACCAATCAACTGGTTTGTTTTTTGTCCTTTCTTTGGGATAAATCAGCAGTGACCAATCTATAGCCCTCCAGATGTTTCTAAACTACAACTCCCATCATTCCTGGCCAAGCTGTTTCGGTTGATGGGAACTGTAGTCTTAAAGGCAACCAATTATCCACTCCTGAGTTACACTATTTTTTCAGCAAAACTTTGTACATGGTGCTTTAATTTGACACTTTAACCATATTGCTGCAATCACAGCAAACACTCTAAATTGCATGATAGGTGAAACAATAAAGAGAAGATTGAAGTTTCTTTTTCAGAAGCATAACATTAATAGGAACCAACATCTTCAAGTAAAACAAAGCTGCCTATTTGATTTTAATACTCAGGGACTGGGTGCCTACATATAATTACTTACAAGCTCTGCTGAGTTCAAAGAAATATATTTCTAGTGTCAGGAATTGGGTCTTAATTTCCTTGCATGACTCCACAGGGGAAAATGTTGGGAAAACAGTGTAGCAGCTAGTTCATTTTCTCAACCCCTGTAGAGGATGACCATTTGCATCTCCTAGACCGGGGTCAGTGAAATGAACCAATTCCTATGCCCAACAAATAACCCAGAGATGCATTTTAAATAAAAGGACACATTCTACTCATGTAAAAACACGCTGATTCTTGGACCGTCCCCAGGCCTTAGTTTGCCTACCCATGTCCTAGCCTTTGTGACTCTCTTTACGAGCTTGGAAGCTTGACCACTAGAAAAAAATGTTACAGAGTAAAATAGCAAAATGGGAAATGGTAGGACCAAGGAATTAAGAGGCCTTCAGCTGCCCTGAAAATTTGATGCAATTCTTACTGAAGCAGCAAACACTCTTCTAAAGCTACAGAAGCCTCTCAGATTCTTTTCTGAGTAGGTTATCTCTTACTAGCATTTTGCAGTGGAAAAGACAATTATAGGGGATCACTGCCAATAACGGAGACAGGGACGCTAAGCAAAATAGTACCTTTTAGAGAGGGGCATAAATCTAATGGTCTAATTCGGTTACTTATTACATTATTTTTCAATCCCACTAAAATCTCAGCTACATTATTTCTATTGATCCCATTCCATGCCTCTGTTCAGCCCATGATGACTGCAGCGGGGATTTGAGGAAATGGCTTTTGTGAGTAATGCCGACCTGCATGCGGTTCATGGCTTCCCGAATCTGGTCAAGATGGTGTGCTGAGCTGAGGGCCTCAAGACGGATGTCTGTTAACTTGAGCTCTTTTTCCCTGAGCTCATTTTTCAGCTGCAGAATTATTTCAGCCTCTGCCTCTGTGCATTCGCAGATCCTAAAAAGAATTGGAAAAGGTAGAGAGGCAGAAGATTAAAGGAACACTCGCTTCTGAAGGCAACGTGCTATTATTCTGTATCAAAGAACAGAAAAAGGGTTGCTGCTGGTAGCTCTCTAGGAGCAGGACGGAGAATTTCATCAAAACTACATGAATGGGTTCAATTTAAAAACATGAAAAGGGGAAAAAAATGTCCAGATAAAATTATAAGCTTGCCTTTATAGCTTTCCTAAGTAGTTCTAACATTTTCTTTTTGTACAAGGTGTAATTATTATGCATGGCACTATTTCACTCCTCCCAAAGTAGAAAAGGGCTGTTTTTTATTTGCCAAAACAGTAGCAGCTTTATTTAACGTTTCATGAAAGCAATGCAATTGTTAACTATCTTCCAAAATAGCAGTGATTAAAATTAAAGTATTGGAGCTGAAATGAAGTTAGTTTAGCTTTGCAGTGTTCTCTGTAAAGTATAATGCAAAAGTATAGGACTGCTTTACCCACACATTGTTATTGTCTTGATTATTCCACATCTGGTAGCTGTTACCTGACTACTCAACTCCTGACTTCTAGCTGAATATGGGAACCATTTCTACTGATATATTATGGCAAGGTTGGCAAACATGGCACCCTCCAGATGCTGCTGTGTTACAACTTCCATATTAGCCCCAGACAACAGGGCTAAAGATAAGGAATGATGGGAGTTATTATAGTAACAACATTTGGACAGCACCATATTGGCTAGCCCTGTATTATTATATTTAAAGTGATGGCTGCTGTAACAAATGCTATGGAATTTGATCTATGATCAGTATTTCAAAAATGCAAGTAATCACTTCCCCTAAGGGAAGAGTTTCTCAGCAGTCTTCAGGCAGCTGCTGGAAAATAGGAAACAGTCTTGTGAAGACTACTGAGAAATGCTTCTCTTTGGCAGTGATTCCACATAGTGAAAGCCACAAAGAGGGAACTCCTCATATGGAACAGTCCCATCATGCGGGCTCTCCATCAGCAAAGAGAGAAACCAGAGATGCTCATTGCTTGTCCCAGATCATTGCAGGAGCAATGGTTTCCACATGGCTGTATAGTCAACTGCAGTGTCACATTCCCTTACAATTTCCACATTTGAGAGAAATATGTACTAAGGTGCAGAACAGATGATATTATCAATATAAATATTTTTCCTGACTAACTGCAAAGGCAAAACAACTTATTTGTGGAGACAGATTGATACATTTTTTAAAAAGTGACGTTCATTACTCTACTCTGCCTTGATGCTATTTTCTTTTGCTATGAAAGAGGATATAATCACAATCCAGTAGCTCAGTGGCAAAGAGGCTCCCTATTCTCTTCCATACATTGCAAAGTTTTCCACAAGCAAATAAAAAAAAAAGCATGTAGCAAAATGTGAATCTTGATCATGCCCCCTTTTCTGAAACCATGTGAGAGACATATTAAGATAATTCAGTTTTTAAATATGCCATTTTTTTCATAGATGAACATATAGAAACATGTCCTTGGGGTGACAGCTGTGCTAAGCTAGAACAATATCCACCTACACTGCTCAAATTTTTCAATACCACATATTAGATATCAAGGATGTGCATCCTATGGCCCTCCACCAAACAATCATTTGTGTCCTCTAGCCATGCTGGAACTGATGCGGGCTACAGGCCCCCCACCCACTCATACATTATTATATGTTAGTGTACATCCAGTATGATAGTGCTATAATGTATTATATTTTTCATGGAATGACTACAAATGCCTATTGATAGGGCAAATGGGCCACTTCAGTCTAGTTCTTAGACATGTAATTCCAAGCCCCACATGCCAGTTTACCGGGATCTATGTTTGTAGATCACGTGACCGTTTTGCCTTTTCTTTGGAGCCCAGATTTGGGATGACCTGCATATACACGCAATAGACAAGACAGATGCAAGTGACAGAAAGTAAAGGAAATGGTTTAGAAAATGAGATCAGGTCCAAGGAAGAAACAAACTAAAAAAACAAAAACAAAAGGAGCACACTACACAGCAGAATGAAAATACAATGATTTTTTTGTGTGTGTGGAAGGTGTGAATGGAATGATAAATCAAAAAGCAAAGTATGCCAAAGCTTACATAGATTTCATTTATCCCAAGTACTATAGGCAGACTGCAAATAAAAAGACTGACAATGCGCTCCAGTCTCATTTTAAAATGCTTAACTTTGAGGACTAGGAGGCAAAACCAGATACATCATTTAGGAAAGCAGATGTTTAGATGCAATAATATTTTTGAGAATATATTATATTTTGACTGGCCAAGCCATAGAACACCCTGCAAGCAGCAAGCACTATTGGCTGTGCCTTTAGAATATAACTTGACTATCAAAACCTTACCTAATTGGAATTGCAAGCATCTAACAAGAATAGGCATGTGCATTCTGTGGTGGTAACAATGAAACTTGATAAAGAATTAGCTGGCTCACTACAGGAAGTGCTTAAGTATTTTTTGACACGGGTCTTCTTGTTTTGCTAGTTCATTAATTGTTTGGACTGGAAGACGTGCTCTCTGATTTCATCTTCTACCCTGTTGCCTTGAGCTTGTTTCCTCATGTATTTTGTACAGTAATGTGACACATCTTCTCTTGAATTGTTGTGCCCTTGACCTCTCCTCTTTTTATGTTTGTGTGTGTTCATATATACAATTTATTTGTTTGTATGCATGTATAACATCCAAGGACACTTTATGCATTGGATGAAACGGGCTCTGTCACAAAAGCTTACAAAGATGCATTCAACAGTCTTTCAGCTGACATTGGTTATATATATATATATATATATATATGCAGGTTTTGGTGTCCTCGGGTGTCTTCCCGTGTAAAAGTTGGGGTGTCTAGGCGACGTTTCGACGAGGTCTCACTCGTCATCTTCAGGCTGGTGCTTTCGGCTTCTTGTTACTGGAACAGAGCAGGATCTCAGTGTTTGAGTTCCTATAAATACTGTTGAGGAGGTGTGGTGTATAGCCTCCAATGTTCTGGGCAGAGAGGAAGTTCCCAGGCTAGTGTGCCTTTTCTTCTTTTGTTCCTTAATTACTTGAGGGATATCTTGAGTGATTTCTTGAGTGATATCCTGAGTACCACTTAGGTGGGTCATTAGGTGTGGATTAGTTGCTAAAGCCTTCGTGTCTTGACCTCTTGAACTTTGTGAAGAGTTTTTCTGAGAAGATGGCTGTACTGCACTTAGTTGTGCTCTGGCTTGGCTTCGTGTATAGGGGCGAGCTGTGGTTTTGTGGCCTGTGCCAGCCAGATCTGTGTAGGGATTGCAGGGGGGTGCAGCATCCGGAGGTGCCACCATGGTTTGGCTACTGGATGGTGTCTGTAATTTATCTGTGGAGAGGGTCTGGGTTTGGGTCTGGTGTGGTTGATTGGTGATGGCGTTCTGTGTGCCTCTGGATCTGGTGTCGGTTTTTGTGGGGAGGGCTAATTTCCAGATGTCTGGCAGGCGGGATGTGTCGTCACGCTTGTTCATGTTGTGAGGGTGTTTCTCTATCTCGATGGCTTCCATGATTATTCTCTTGTGGTGATGTTCCATGTTAAAGAGCAATTTGGAATCTGCAAAATTAATTTCGTGTCCTGTTTCTTTCATGTGTTGGAAAAGAGAGGAAGTTTTTTCTTCTTTTTTGACGGCATTCTTGTGTTCTGCGATACGTGCATTTATTCGTCTGTTTGTTTGTCCAATGTACGTGGCTGGGCAGACTTTGCAGGGTATTTCATAGACCCCTTGGTTTTCCAACTGGATTTTATCCTTGGGGTTTCTGAGGATATTGGCTATTTTTTGGTTGGTGCAAAAGGCTGTTTTGATATTGTGTTTATGGAGGATTTTGCTAATTTTATCTGTAGTGCCCTTGATATAAGGAAGGAGGGCCATACCATTGTTTTCTTCTGTGTCTTGGTTTTTGGGGGGTGTTTCTTTTTGGATTAGCTTCGTAACCCTGTTTTGCTGGTATCCATTGGCGATTAACACATTTGAGAGATTCTGTAACTCAGTTGTCAAGTGGTCTTTGTCAGCCAGGCGTTTGGTTCTGGAGATGAGAGTCTTGGCTACGGAGTTTATTTGTGCAGGGTGGTGGTGTGATTGTGCATGTAAGTAGCGGTTGGTGTGTGTTTTTTTCCGGTAGATAGTGTGTCCTAGGGAGCCATCAGGTTTTTTGTAGACTAGGACGTCAAGGAAGGGAAGTTGGTTGTTGGCTTCTATTTCCATAGTGAATTGTATTTTGGGGTGTAGGCTGTTGAGGTGTGTGAGGAAGCTATCTAGTTTTTCCTTCCCGTGTGGCCAAATTACAAAGGTGTCGTCAACATATCTGAGCCAAAGTTTGGGTTTGTGTTCTGACTTGTCTAAAGCATTGGTTTCAAAGTGTTCCATGTACAGGTTTGCGATGACCGGTGAGAGGGGTGATCCCATAGGTGCTCCTTCTATCTGTTTGTATCTTTGTCCATTGTGGATGAAGTACGTGTTGGTTAGGCAGTGGTTGGTCAGGTCCAGGATGTATTCGGGGGGATTGTATTTGTTTTGAATGGCTGTCAAGGCTTCATTAATGGGCACTTGTGTGAAGAGAGATACAACATCGAAGCTCACAAGTAGGTCATTGGGATGTAGGTTTTGCTTCTTTATTGTTTCTATGAACTGGAAGGAGTTTGTAACGTGTGAAGAGATGGATTCTGCATAGGGCTGAAGTTGCTTAGCGAGAAATTTAGCGAGATTTTGTAGAGGTGAGCCTATGGAGCTGACTATTGGTCTGAGTGGTGTTCCTTCTTTGTGTATCTTGGGGAGGCCGTAGAGTTTGGGGCATCTGGATGATTTTTCTCTGGGGATGATTCTTAGCTGGATTTCTTCACTGATAGGAGAGGCTTTTATTTTGGATTTGGTGGTTTTTTCCAGATAGGTGGTGGGATCTGTTTTTATAGGTTGGTAGGTAGGGTCTTGGAGTAGATTTGATAGTTTTTGCTTGGTAGTCCGATGTGTTCATCACAACAGTGGCATTACCTTTGTCTGCTGGGAGAATGATTATGTTGTTGTCTTTCCTCAGGTTGGTGAGTGCTTTCTGTTCTTCTTTGTGTAAATTGCTTCTGGGTGGTTTGCTGGAGCAGAGGATGTTGGTGACTTCAAGTCTGATTTTATTGGCTTCATCTGGGTTGATTTTGGTTAGGCTAGCTTCGACTCCGCATATGATGTTTTCCGTGGGGATGCGTCTCGGGGCGACTGCAAAGTTGAAACCTTTGGAGAGTACTTTGGTTTCAGTTGAGGTGAGGATCCTGTCTGATATGTTATGTACTGTTTGTTTCATGGGTTGTTGTGGAGGGTGGCTGGGCTTCTGGCGTTTCTCTAGTTTGTGGAGTTTGTTGGTGTGTGTGTCTGTCTTATGTGAGGTCTCAGTTTCAGCTCTCCAGACGGCTAGTTGTTTGCATTTGTCCCAGAGTGCAGGGTGGATTTTGTTACAGAGTTTGAGGTGAAGAGTGAGCAGATCTTTGTTGGTTTGGTTTAGTAGGTATCTTTTCTTATGTAGTTCGTTTCTGATTAGGGATAGTTCAGTTCGTTTCAGGATCCTTTCGGTAGCTGGGGTTTTAGAGTGGAATTTAAGTTGGAAGCATGTGGGAATTAAGTTGTTGTCTCGGCAGTTGCGTAGGAACAAGAGATCACATAAGATGGTGGCTCTTCGGATTTCTAGTTTCTCGTAGGTTCTTGTCAGCTGGAAGGTTTCCTCCCCGTAGAGGTGAGATATTTGCTTTCGTAGATTTTCACGGGTACAGGAATGCAGGTTTTGGTGTCCTCGGGTGTCTTCCCGTGTAAAAGTTGGGGTGTCTAGGCGACGTTTCGACGAGGTCTCACTCGTCATCTTCAGGCTGGTGCTTTCGGCTTCTTGTTACTGGAACAGAGCAGGATCTCAGTGTTTGAGTTCCTATAAATACTGTTGAGGAGGTGTGGTGTATAGCCTCCAATGTTCTGGGCAGAGAGGAAGTTCCCAGGCTAGTGTGCCTTTTCTTCTTTTGTTCCTTAATTACTTGAGGGATATCTTGAGTGATTTCTTGAGTGATATCCTGAGTACCACTTAGGTGGGTCATTAGGTGTGGATTAGTTGCTCTTTAACATGGAACATCACCACAAGAGAATAATCATGGAAGCCATCGAGATAGAGAAACACCCTCACAACATGAACAAGCGTGACGACACATCCCGCCTGCCAGACATCTGGAAATTAGCCCTCCCCACAAAAACCGACACCAGATCCAGAGGCACACAGAACGCCATCACCAATCAACCACACCAGACCCAAACCCAGACCCTCTCCACAGATAAATTACAGACACCATCCAGTAGCCAAACCATGGTGGCACCTCCGGATGCTGCACCCCCCTGCAATCCCTACACAGATCTGGCTGGCACAGGCCACAAAACCACAGCTCGCCCCTATACACGAAGCCAAGCCAGAGCACAACTAAGTGCAGTACAGCCATCTTCTCAGAAAAACTCTTCACAAAGTTCAAGAGGTCAAGACACGAAGGCTTTAGCAACTAATCCACACCTAATGACCCACCTAAGTGGTACTCAGGATATCACTCAAGAAATCACTCAAGATATCCCTCAAGTAATTAAGGAACAAAAGAAGAAAAGGCACACTAGCCTGGGAACTTCCTCTCTGCCCAGAACATTGGAGGCTATACACCACACCTCCTCAACAGTATTTATAGGAACTCAAACACTGAGATCCTGCTCTGTTCCAGTAACAAGAAGCCGAAAGCACCAGCCTGAAGATGACGAGTGAGACCTCGTCGAAACGTCGCCTAGACACCCCAACTTTTACACGGGAAGACACCCGAGGACACCAAAACCTGCATTCCTGTACCCGTGAAATCAAATATATATATATATATATATATATCAATCAGAGGTGCCTTGGGGGCAGGAAAGGAGAACGGCAGGGAACAGTCATGAGCCAGGTATGTCTCCCCTCACCAAGAAAACATGGAAAGGAAAAGAATGCAAGATCAATGCTTTTTTCAAGGTAGCATGAAGTGGAAAAGCAATGGAAGCAAGAGTTCCACTCTGTGAAGTTTGAATACAGCTACACACAGGATGATAAATAACATTTTCCAAGGGATAATTTTCTAAACAGCAAATTAAGGTCTTAACCGAGAGAGTGGTTGAGAGGCAACAATTAATGGAAGTACAGAATTGAAAGTTGAGAGGCAGTATTTCTGAAATACCAATCACTATTTTGAAGATTGCTTCTTTAACAAATGGCTGTTCTCTAAGAAAGAGGGAAAACATACGCGGATGCCGATTGGGATGGCTTTATTGATGTAGACCCACAATCTCCGGAACTGTGGGGTAACTTGGGTGAGGATGGAAGAGATGAATCTGTGACTTCTTCTATATCAGAATGTGAGGAAGGAGGCTTTGTGGACTTCTTCTTCCCAAAGGCCTGTTTGAATGAACTTCTTAGCTAGGAAAGAAGAAAGAAAATTAAGATTTATTTGGATTATCTCTGATCATTTGGTTCACTTTACGTTTCGTTGAAAAGTTAGTTTGCAGATGCTAATCTAGCCACTGCCTGTGGTTAAGTGTATAGATTAAGCAGGGTATTAACATGTGCAACACAGTATCTTTAAGAACACAATAGAGTGCTTTTTTAAAAATCAAGTGAGCACAGCGCAAACATTGAACGCTATGGAAAAGGTACAGGATCAAGTGGTACAGCTAAACAGATGCTCATTTAAAACCCTACACCTCCTGTGGAAATCCCATTCCTCTGACATTCCCATTAAGGTGACTGGTCTTAAATAGCCACATTGTTTAAAAATTATTGACTTTAAGAAGACATTCCAATCAATGTGATTTTGTGCATCATTCATACAAAATTGTTTTTTTTTCCTTTAGAAGTTTTACCCTATTATTTCTACAGTAGCATGGATCAGAAATAAGCATATTTTAAGCTGTTATATGATGCTTGCCTTTTTGCTGACAAGAAGCTGAAAGGGTTGGGGAAAGAGGAGGTATTTGCTGCAGTTCTGTTTTAAAGAAGCAAGTTCATATGCATAAGCACTGCTTTTTTTTTTTTTTGCTATTTTTTTTCTCTAGAAGTTTTTTTATCCATTATTGAAAGGGTCAGAATAGCCAAAGAGCCATTTATTTCAGGAGTAGAGATGGCAAACGTTATGGATGCAATGAGCACTATGCAGTTATTTTCGAGTTGTCAAAAGCGTCTTACGAACACACAAGTTATTAATACAGAGGGGGGAAGTGTGTTCCCCCCTCCCCCAAATAGTTGCTTTGATTACCCAAATGTTTCTTCTACTAAACATTGGAGCACATAATCACTTTGTTCTATGAATATTAGTTCAAGAGCAGGGAGTGTAAGTACTGATTGAGTTACCATAATTTATATTCATTCTACTTTATGAATTCTAATAAGAAAGAAATGGATTTTGGCGACACTCCCCCTTTCTAGATTTCAAAGTTGGAGGTAAAATGAATAGAGAAAAAACTAAGGAGACATAAAGAATAATTTGTTTTAGAAGGGTACAAAAGCCTACTGCCAAAATGAATAGCAATCATGCCAAGATAGAGTTCTTTGAGATGCATGCCAAATTTTCCAGGGATTTATATTCACCTCACTTCCTCTAGAGTTCACCTTGCAGAAACATGAAAGAGTGTGCAATTACAAATCAAGGGAATGAAGTTGGAATCAGTATTTTTAAAATATTACCTGCGTAATAAACATATTTTAAACAACAAAAGTAAATTCTCCATTATTTCACTAAAATCTGAAGCCCTTGTGATAGGTGTATGTTCTTCTCAAATCAAAGACTTTATATTTATCCATCTTTAAAACATTTCCATTGGCTTTCTTTCTAAAGCATTCCAGACAGTTGACCTATTTTATAGAATGAGTGAGAAAACTATATCTATCTATCTATCATCTATCTATCTATCATCTATCTATCTATCTATCTATCTATCTAAGCTTTCACATGCTTACACATCGATATGAATATATTTTGTTTGCCAATGCTCATACCTCACTAGGTGCAAACAAATCCATATTTATCTAGCCACAGCATTATCAACAGGTAATTATACAGAAGGGCACCACTATAAGGGTTATTTATATGCGCCGTTGTGTTATCTATGAAGAAGGAAGCCATATAAAAGTCTATTCAATACATTTAAATCTCTAGAGCGCTTACCCAGTTTTTCTTTTTCTTTTTCTTTGAATCAGCATCATTACCACTGCCCATGCTTGAATGGCTGGTGCCACTGTTGATGCTGGAAACACTTTCAGAGGAATGTTGCCGCCTTATTCGCAGATCTATAATATAATAATAATAAAAAAACAAATATGGAAGTGCCTTAATTCCCAAGGGACCACCCCCCCCCTTTCTAGAGTTTAACAATGTTGTGGAATGCCAAATTCCACTCAAATTGAGTGCTGTGGTGGAAGCTGAATAGGATTCCAAAGGGAAACACAAATAAACTGTTACTTGTAGAAGTGACTATGGAAAATCTTTTTTCTGGTGGGACACTCATTCTCAGTGCAGAAAGCCACCTATTTGGTCTCCACTATCTCCCTAGCCAGTGTCTTTCTTCGTGTGCAGTGGAAACAACCAGCATGAGAAGAAGCAAGTACCCTGGACAACTAGATAGTGGGCAGGGCCATCTTAAGCATATCCAGTGCAAAGATCCTTCTGGCGTCCGCCCCCCCTTTTCCCAGAGTTGTTGATCTTTTTTTAGGGAGGGAACACCAGCAGTGGAGGAGGAAGCCTCTTGGGCCGCTTTGCGCCATGGTGGCCACGGCAGGTGGAGGCTCTGGCCGTGGCGCTGCTTGAGTGCGGCATGGCAGAGGCAGGCAAGTGGGGGGAGCCACCCCCATGGAGATCCACGGTGCCTGATGCCTGGCTCGAAGATGGCTAGCAGGAGGGACACCTGCACCTCAACCCATTGGGCAAGCGAGCACACCGAGCGAGCGAGGGTGCATGCGCCACTCCTGCCGAGTGCCGGCTCGGTTTTTTCCTCTTTAGCTTTCTGGCGCCCTGCAGAATTCAGCGCCTGCAGGCTAAAAGGGAAAAAGCCAAGCCAACGCTCAGCGGGAGTGGGCCACACACCCTCACTCAATCAGCACACTCGTTCAGTGTTCCCCGGACTCTTGCCTGGCGCCCTCCAGAACTTGGCACCCTGGCACCCCACACCACTAGCGTCTCTGGGTAAGACAGCCCTGATAGTGGGGATCAGTACCTAAGCAACACAGAAGTTCTTCCAGAATCAGAAGAACTTTTACCATAAAAATACTCTTATACTTATTGTTCAATCTGTAATTGTGAATTGTGGAAAGAACCTAGCAGTACAGTGGTACCTTCGTTGTCAAACAGCTTGGCTTCCGGACAAATCGGCTCCCGAACGCTGCAAACCCGGAAGTGAGTGTTCCGGTTTCTGAACATTTTTCGGAAGCCAAACATCCGACACAGCTTCCACTTGAGTGCAGGAAGCTCCTGCAGCCAATTGGAAGCCGCGCTTTGGTTTTTGAACGTTTCAGAAGCCAGACTTCCAGAATGGATTCTATTAGACTTCCAAGGTATGACTGTATGACTTAAAACTAATTTATTTTGGCTGGAACTTTTTCCCGCTGCTATGCACAAGGTGCACATGCAGAAAAGCATTAAAGGGGTTATCAAGCCTTAGCCAGTGACTAATTCCTCAAGAGAAGTCAGATAATTCTGTGGTGTATAAATGACACATGGAAGTTTTCCAGCTGTGGAAACTAATTCTGTCCTGAAAATTCTCTAATAACTATTAGCCTACGTGTTGTGTTTGTATTGTTGTGACTGAAAATTTATCCTACATGTTTTTCAGCCATTCTCCGTCAATTAATAACAAAAGAAACTGCATAAGAATACTGTCAAAAGGGGAGGGGAATTTTCAGTGCAGTTTTCAACAGTGGGATTTATTTATTTTGTTGAGCTTACCTTACTTTCAAGGTGGCCAAGGGGGGCTGCTGTGAGTGTCCTTTATTTCACTGTACCAATCGTCTCTCCAGTGATCTGCACTCTGCAGCCTTCCTGGGTGCCCAGGTTTCCTGAAAACCCCATGACATCCTCAGCAGCTGGGCTTTCCTGTAAGTATGGGAAGGTGGGGAGGCTGCCTACTTTGCATCTGATAGCTGTTCATTCCTTTTAAGTGCAGTATTTTTTATTATTAAAGAGATAGGTGTACCAATCTTAAGTATTTGGTAGCCAGACTCTCAGGCTACCATGCTTCAGTTAAAGCTTAGTGGACTCCCCTGAGGTCTTTTCAGATTAGCAAGGGCAGGCAACCAGGCAGACTTCAGAGTGCTGGATAGAAGTTGAATGGAAAGAAAAAAATACACACCACCCATGGCCACCTTGCAGCAATAGAGTAAGCTCAACTCTGCACCAACCAAAGAATGAATTCTAAAGTACTCTGGGAAAGAGGGAGAAAAATGGAATATTGCTTTGCAGAGGAAGAAATGTTTCAAGAAACTGGAGGACAGGATTTGGCACACAGCACTAGTGGAAACACCACAAATACAACTACATCAAAACTTGAGAGAGAGGCTATTCTTCCGAACAACAGAAAGCCAGTAGCTTAGCACTTCTTTGGGACAAAAATGAGTTCCCAGTGAAAAAACAGCAGCAATCCATACCTTTATGAGTGTGGTCTGGGCCATTCAAAGCTCCTTGAATAGCAGCCTGCGCAGCTGAGTTCTGGGCTTTCAGCATTTCAATGGTTTCTCGTAGTTCTATGAGTTCCGATTCCTTTGGGAACAGTAGAAAAAGTCACAAAAGTATCAGAGTAACTATGGTTTCCACCCCCCACTGGGGTCAAAATGCACTTTTTGCATTGTAATTTGGGTGGAATTCAGGTGAAAATTAGGCATCATGTATGCTTTTCAACTCAGCTAATACAGTATGTCAGAAGCATCAGGTTAGAAGCTATTTATCTCTATAAAATACTGCATAACAAGAATTTTGAAGAAAATAATACAAACATCTATTAAAATGTATTCGATTTCTTATGAAATGAAGCAATGTAACTCATCTTTTCACCTGGTAGGGGATGGTTTTAACAAGTGTAATGCACAGTTTTAATTTAAACTGCGTTTAACATTTCTGTTTCTAGTTCTCATTTTATATAATGAGGATTAAAGCTACTGAAGGAATTTGACCTTAGCAGCAACATGGAAGAAGAAAAAGAAAAGCTTATATGCTCAAATGTCTGGGAAAGCTTATTGAAGTCAGTGCCAGTGCTATAATCTCTTTGAGAAAGGAAGCCCGAAGCTTTATAGAAGATGAAAAGATCAAACTGGAAGAAATTCCTTTTGAGAAATTATTATTATTACAGTGGTTCACTTGTGTGCCCTTAGGCAGAAGATGGATTTGTGGTAGATCCCTGGTCTGTAGTAACTTTGGTGTAGATCTGCACTTGTGTATACATGGGTTATCTCAATGTACAATTTATAGGAAGTAACTGGTATTACCACCACCATCTTGGTATTACTACCAAGCTACTGCTTTGCACCTGGCTTCTTCCCCAGCCACTTTTCTCCCCAGCTGGTCCTACTTGACGGACCCTAGGGATCTACTAGCAGACAAAATAGATCCTACAAGCCTGAAATAACCTATCCCTACAGGAGCAGCCAAATTGAGTATGTAGCCACAGCACAAGAGAAGCTAATGAACTTAATACTCGCACATGTCTTAATTGGAAACAAGAGGTGTGCAAGGAAAAGTTATTTTGCCTTTGCCTTTGCCTTTGCCTTCATTTCATTTTCCAGTTATTTTGTTTATAGTATTAATAACCTGCTCCTCAACAAATGGTCCCAGGACTAAATAAATACATCATTAAAATAATAAATTAAGAAAAAAGAATATAATTTCATACACATAAACATTCTACCCATCATTAAACCATCAATTTGAGCAGCATACATTCATCCTTCTGCACTTTTCAATGGAGGATCCCGCCAATTCTTTTCTGCAACCTGTAGCTTTGATGTTTCTGTCCAAATGGTATGAAATCATATTCAGCATTAGGAAAGCACTGTCCACACATTTAATTTTATTTTTGCCCTCATAGTATGTTTTCCAACCTCGTGGGCTAAAATGGATCATCAGATTTCATTGTGACAGCAAATGACTGACAGACAGGAGGGCCTATGGAGATGAGGACTTGGTCCATCAGTCAGATCCAGTTTCCCAACCCTGACTTAAAAGTATTGCAAAACAAGCAAAGTCAAAACCAAATCCAGCCCCAGCTGCTCCAAGATAACATTTGCTATTGGCTTGTTTTTCTATCTTTGTAATATCTCTTCTGTCTAATATTTAGCGTTTTGACAATGCTGGCAGACTGGAACAAGCACTCCACTTGGTTTATGACCACCTTTTGTTGCTTAATCTTTCAATACAGATTAAATTCAGAGTCACAAATGTTTTAATTAAAATCTGGAAATGAAAGATTTTATCATCACACTGCCCTCTGATATAGCTTGGCTAAATCTGATGGTGTGCAATGTTATTCTTATTGCACTTTCACGAAGCATCGATAGTCATAAAAAAATAAAATTGATGCACCTGCCTGTTTATTCTTACAGCTGTCTTTTCATTCAGCCTTCAATACAAACTTTAATATAAACCAAGAACGGTTTTCCACATTAAAGCATCTGCTGTTTCTAACATACCTTTTGTTCAGCTGTCATTGTTAGGCTTTGCAGCCGGCCCGTCATATTTCCTAAACTCTTTTCAAAAGCTGCTACGAGATGGGCCTGTGAAGAAGATGGGGTGGTGTGGAGTCAGTCAAATGTCAATAGGTTTCAAATGCACTATACAAAATCTATACAATATGCTTGAATGTACTTCTGCTTAAAAAAACACACAACCCTACCTGACCATCACCATCAAAAGTTACTTCTATTTAAATTCCTAATCGTTCTCCAACCTCCTTGCACTTTCCTATCTGCACGAGGAAGACACTATTCCCAGCTGTCCATAATACACAGGGTCAATTCCAGTTTCTTTGTAGAATTCTGTGGCTTTGGGGCAGTACTAGATGCTTTGCCCAGTACAATTATTTGGGCATTCTTTAACAAGAACATGTTTCACCTGGACTTGCTATAGCATAACAACCCTTTAATATGGCAGCACTGTACTTGATTGTGCCCTACTCCAAACTAGAGGTCTGCAAAAGTTCAGAGTTTCTAGTTTCTGCTAGAAATGGTTTTTGGGTGTCTAAAGGAGCACCCAAAACTGTTGGAAAGATTTGTTGAGTGAATTTCTTGGAAAGTCTGCCTCCCGTCCTATTGAGAGTAGGGCAGCACCCATGCTTTCTGGAATCTTTTAAAACCATCTTTCAAGCATTCTGAAGTTCACGAACCTGCACTTTGCTCTACAAATCATCCTCAGAACATTGTTATATCTTTATTCAAGGGCCTTCTGGGGAAGAATAATGGCAGTCAGCATTTGGGAGTACCACCAGCAGCAGCAGCCACAAAATTCAACTTATGCCACCCCAGGCACAGCAAAAAGTTTAAAGAGAGAGGGGAAAACTTGAAAATAGAAACTGCCAGGAGTGCACAGCTGCCAGCATGAAACACTCACATGAAACGCTTTAAAGGGTTACCTGCTGAAAAAAGTGATGAAACCCCTCAGTGGATTTTTACAATCCACAAGGCCCAGTAAATTTTGGGGTGGGGGAAAGAGGGATTGGATTGTCATGGTTCTGCCTTAAGTGTGTATTCAATAATTACAATAACAGTAACTTTATTGCCAGATAAAACTAATCCAATTCAAAATGCATCCTCTGCTGTTGCTTTCCCATTTTGTCCTTCCTCTAAAATGTGCACTCAGAAGACTTTCCCCACCCCTTTTGCTTTATTCAGTAAGCCAGTTTAAAAGAACCAATAATTGTGTGCAGAAGGGATACATGTGTCTATTTTTATGTTTGGTTACTGGCTAAATATATTTTGTATGCACTTTCCAAACTAATAAAGCATTTTAAAGTGGTGGTGGGGTGTTGAATTTGATAGCACAAGAAGTACGAAAACCCCCTCAGATATAGAAAACAATCATAGTGTGAAATATTAATATAGTCTCACAGCAGGAAGAAGACTGGCTATGCTTCTGTTTGCTTGCTTTAAATATGCACGAGTCGGGTTGAAAAAGTCCACTCAGAAGAAGGTAACATAACATGAGAATTTTATTTTCACTGACAACTAACAAGCATTTTGAGGCTAAGGGAAAGGTCATCTTAAGGCAAGTGAACATGCTAGGCAGGAAACTATATGATAGCAGTCTTATGTATTATGACCATCTGAATCCACTTCCTGTGCTGATGTTCTTAAAACTGAATGCTTTTCAATGAATAAAACCTAACTGGGGATTATTCTGTGAACAGAGAAATATACCTGGTCCCGTAATACCTACTGGAAAAGCCATCAGGTGCCTCACCTCTTTATACCATGAAAATAATGTGAACCAAACACTCAAGGCATATCCAGGAGTATGAAGTCTTTATTTGTGTGATCTCCCCACTTTGTTGGAGAGGCCAATCTGTTTGGAAACCATGGTTGCGTCAAAGTATAGTGGCAAGATTACTACATGGGACCAGAACTATGGTTCTCATCAATTCTGAAATAATTACACTGGTTCCAAGTATAAGCCAGTATGCACCAATCTCTGGCTCTCTCCCACTTGGATGTTTGATCTCCCTTCCCTCAGCACCCCATCGTAGCACTATTCCTTACAATAAGTAAGACCTACTACTTTTAGTAGATGTTTGCAAATTTTTTTAGAGAGAGAGAGAGATCATCAAAGGCCAGCAAAGCACTGAGCTACCTTGTGCAGATCCTGCTTCATCTCAGACAAGCCCAAAATTACTCAGACAAGCCCAAAATTACTCTGAGTCAACCCCAAGTTGATCTTGGGATTTGTCCACATCTCATGCATATCCCTAGTTTCAAGTCCATTTTTTAGCATGGCTCACAGAGCTTGTTTAACTTTAAAAGCCCTAAACAACTTGGGAATCAGTCAAACCCAGGTACTGTGTGGACCACTTAACCGTGCAAGAATGTTCTAGGTATTATAATTTTCTATTACTCTGCCATAAGAGGTGATGTGGGTGGTGATGGCAGGTCCAACCTCTTTTGGACTTTCTTCTCAGGGATATTTGCATGGTATAGATTTTGTTTTGTTTTCAGCAACAGGTGAAAATCTTTTTAATGAGTTCCAGGATTTCTGGACCTTGGCTTTAATGCTGTTTTGCCTCTTGCTCAGCTTTAAATTTGTCAGTGTCTGTTCATTTCAGCCTTTCCCAATGCAGTTCCCAAATACTTTGGACTACAATTCCCATCAGCCTCAACCAGCATGGCCAAAAGTTAGGGATGATGGGGGTTGTATGGGAGACATCACATTAGGTTCATATTGTTTTTATTGACTTTATGCTGCATTTCAAGCTGCTTTGGGAAGCTCTGTGGGCTGAACAGTAGGTTAATAAATGCCCCCCAAAGCAAAGTAACTAAATCTGCAGTTGGGTACACAACTACCTCACAAGTTACACTATATGCCTATTGAAGAGGAGAAGCCTATTGCTACTCCATATATAACTGCAACACCAAAAATAACACAGAGAAATTACACAATGAATTTTTGAGCTTGAATATCACAAAGGATTGAACAGTCACAGATCTGAAGAGAAGAAAGTGGATCAGAATGTACAAATGCACAAGTTAACTTTGATGACAAATAATTCTCCTCCTCCTATATTTAAGTTCCCCAGTAATGTTTGTCAGAAACAAAGGAGAATATTGTTTTGTCCAGATTAATATGACATTTAAAGCTATGGAAATTATACCAGAAGTTGGTTATGTCCAGGTAACTTGAGTTCTGTGTACAGTTCCACCTCCTACCCCCATCGTAAAGCTTCCTGTAATGCACTATAAAGATGATGGGCTTACTACTGCGCCCAGATCTTCACAGAATGATAACTATGTCAAAAATATTGATTTTTAGAAGTCTGTGATAAAATGCATGTTCCCTGTGCACTGACATGCTATAACTTTGAAGTACGAACATAACTGAGTCCAAATGATGATAGATCTTGCTTTGTTTCACTCAGATATATTCTGCCAAGCACATAAATGGAAGCAGACTTTGCAGTATCTAAGGTCTACAAATCTCACTGAATACAATCAAATGCTTCCAGGAGGAATATGCTACAAGTAACTCAGTTGTGGCACTAACTGAGGAGTATGGCTACATTCCAGAAAAGATGAGGAAGTGGCATATAAAGAAAATACTAGTGTCTCTATAGCCCTACTGGTGGCTCCAATCTATAAGGCCATGGAGGAAGGAATAGGAAGAAGAAAGTCATACAGGCACACTCTAACCCAAGCTTCCTCAACCTCGGCCCTCCAGATGTTTTGAGATTACAACTCCCATCATCCCTGACCACTGGTCCTGCTAGCTAGGGATCATGGGAGTTGTAGGCCAAAAACATCTGGAGGGGCGAGGTTGAGGAAGCCTGCTCTAACCACCTTGATCCCAGTGACAGCAAGACAGCAAGGCTACTCTTATCACCTCCTTCCCAGACCCAGCATCATAAGCACAGGAAGACCCCACTTCAACATCTTTTTAAACGACCTGGACAAAAGAGTTGACAGGATGCTTATCAAATTTGCAGATGACACCAAACTGGGAAGAGTAGCTAATGGTGCAGAAGACATAATCAGAATTCAAAATGACCTTAACAGATTGGAGAACTGGGCCCAAACTAGCAAAATGAATTTCAAAAGGGACAAATGTCAAGTTCTGCACTTAGGCAGGAAGAACCAGATGCACGAATATAAGATTGGGGACACCTGGCTTGCCAGTAGTACATGTGAAGAGGCTTTAGGGGGTCTTAGTAAACCACAAGCATCAACAGCAAAGAAAGCCGATGCTATTATAGGCTGCATCAACAGAATTATAGTGTCCAGATCAAGGGAAGTAATAGTACCGCTTTATTCTGCCCTGGTCAGACCACATCTGGAATACTGTGTCCAGTTCTGGGCACCACAATTTAAGAAGGATATTGACAAGCTGGAACATGTGCAAGCAGAGTGACCAAGATGATCATGTGTCTGGAAATAAAGGCTTATGAGGAACAGTTGAGGGAGTTGGGTATGTTCAGTCTACAGAAGAGAAGACTAAGAGGATATATGATAGCTATCTTCAAATATCTAAAGTAGATGGAGTGAGCTTGTTTTCTCCTGCTCCAGAGAGTAGGACTTGAACCAATGGGTGCAAGTTACAAGAAAGGAGATTCCGACTGAACATCAGGAAGAACTTTCTGACAGTAAGAGGTGTTCGACAGAGGAATGGACTCCCTCAGGTGGTGATGGACTGTCCTTCCTTGGAGGTTGAATAGTCATCTGTCATAGGTGCTTTAGTTAAGATTTCTGCATTGCAGAGGATTGGACGAGATGATCCCCAGAGTCTCCTTTCAACTCTACAATTCTTTAATTCTCTGATTCTATGTATTAATGCAAAATTCACTTTTTAAATTTAAAAGCACCAATCAAATAATATTCAGCATTAAAATCGACAATTGCATTCCAACAGAGAAAGCACTTTTGCTGCATTATGAATATCATGGTTGAAATGCTTATTTCTAGGCAACTGTCACTTCTACAGATACACACACACACACTTCAAAAATTTAAATTGGGTTCTTGTCTTGCACTATTGATTTGATTTGATATTTTGAAAAAATGGAACAATGGTCCATTTTTCCTTGAGTAACAGTATATGTGGGGGAGGTCTTCAGATTTTTGACAGTTCATGCCTTATTTTTTAAGATTTATTTTAAGGAAAAGGAATGTGTTCATTTAAATTTAAATTAATAGCAGTTCCATCCTATCCATGAGTGAAGCCTCCTGGGCAAGGATAAGGTACCCCTGCCCATACGGGCCAGTCGTGTCCGACTCTAGGGTTGTGCGCTCATCTCACTTAAGAGGCCGGGAGCCAGCGCTGTCTGAAGACACTTCCGGGTCACATGGCCAGCATGACGAAGCTGCTTTGGCGAGCCGGCACCAGCGCAGCACACGGAACGCCGTTTACCTTCCCGCTATAAAGCGGTACCTATTTATCTACTTGCACTTAGGGGTTCTTTCGAACTGCTAGGTTGGCAGGAGCTGGGACCGAACGACGGGAGCTCACCCCGCCGCGGGGATTCGAACCGCCAACCATATGATCGGCACTGGGCAAGGATAAAAGTCTCCTAATTTAATACCTTAGGGAAACTCCTGAATTAATTTGTCTACTTAGGACAGCCATAAAACCCATATACATGGCATAGGCATTATCACAATCCCTCTCCCCTAAACCAGGCCAGACCTCCTCTGAGGAAGAGAACTCAGTAGAGAAACCCAGTACAACCTTGCAAGAACCACGAGCCTAAAGTGACTGGTCTCATGAGTTTCTCACCCGTGCACCCCCAGTAACTCTTTCAACCAATGCCAGTTCTGCATTCCCTGCTCTCCAGGCTGATCAAAGAGAAACCGAATATGCTAGGTAGGCCCAAAGATGAGTGATCGTAATGACATTTCAATCTGGTAGGAAGTCTGCTGGTTAGATACAAATTGAACTAAAAGAACACCTTTAAAAAAAAAAAGTTCTGGGATTTCCCCTTCAGCAGCTCAAAAGCAAACAACAAAGGGAAATTCAATCATCAAGTTGAAGTAACTGGAAATCAAGACAGCAGCAGCAGCAGCTGGAGTTTGAGTAGATTAAATTGTAAAAAAAGGAAGATGCTTTGGGCTTTATCAGCTGAGATGAATAACTAGATACTGAACAGAGCACAGGAGTCTCAGATAAGATAATCTTGCCTAACAAACAAGAGATAAAACACATGCTTGCTAAATTATGGCTTCCAATAGGTATTGTTACTAAGTCAGAAAACAGGAAAATGTAAAAAGATGTGCAAAAAGACATTTCAATTTTTATTCTGACAAAGATTGTGCACACAAATCTAAATGATGTGTTGATTGAGGCCAAAGTGCAACTTAACTCAATGGGGCAAATTTGTAGTAACTAAAGTTTCATTGATTTCAGTGTGACTAAAATGGCCCACAGACCTAACCTGGTCCACCAGATCTGTGCATGGCATTCTCCCCATGTCATACCCTCTTCTCCTAAGCAATGGCTCTTTCCCTCCTATCTCTACTGTTCCATAGCAAGCAGCATATGCAGGATGACTTCTTTCTACATCATCTGCTCATTTTATTTCCATCCTATGCTGAGAAAAGGACTCACCTTTCTTCTTTCACAGTGATGAAACACTGAAAACTAGTAACACAGGAAGTCTTGTAAACTGTTCAAACCTTTTCAAATTAAGTTTAAATTTTCACTTCTGTGATTACTGCTAATCTAGGATGAATTACTCTTGCTGGCCATAAATGGAAGCCGAAGTTCTGACACTGACTGACCGTAGCAAGTTCAAAAATTGTTTGTCGAAGTAGAACAGAATATGGATTTTTTTGGTTCATCCTTCAACAGGATTAATAATTTAATATGGTGGATACTAGCTACATAAAAGCAATCTCATATGTCCAGAATTACAACACCTTCCATCATACAAGTGGGTTCCCTTTAGGGAAAGGAGCTATTTCAAAAGATAAGCTGCTAGAGTACTACAAAAAGTTGGAAACGTAGTCCATATCTGAACTTCTCTGCTCCTAGTCAGTCACATTTCAAAACACAAAATGATAAAAATGTTGCATTATTCAAAAGCACCCAGCAATGTCACCAGCTGACACCTGACATTTTATTTTCTGACAGTAGTAATTGCTGTGCTTCAACAAAAGCTAAAATCATTTTGTAGAAGCTCAAAATCCCAACAGCTACCTCCTTTTGGAGTATTATTTTTTTTAAGTCGCATTTCACACAACCCTTTATATACTGTGTACATAAAAGAATCAAACACGAGTAGTTATCATTGTCTTACTGACAGTAGAAATGTCTGTAGCTGTAACTCTGCCCATGTTTCTTTTTTACTTTTATGATTAAGTGTTTAATAAGTAGAATGTAAATATCATTCAAATAGAAAGAATAAAAATATCTCACATAAAAGCAATAGCGCTTTTTATTATAAGCAAGAATTTGAAATCCCACCATCGTGATTTCTCAGATCCTAGGAAAAAATAATTAACTTTTAGTGTGACCATAGAAACACCTGACTAAATATCTGCGCCAAGCACTTTGAGAGTCACAATGAAAACACTGCATCAGAAACAGTGGGAGGTAGTTGTTTTGATCCCTGCCCAGTGCACATAAGTGAATTATACAAGGTGGTGATGCTGTGAGGAATTTCAGCTGAGCAAACAATATTGCTCGGCTCTTAAGAGCAGGAAACAGAGGTAAAAAATAATATTACCCTGTGGAACAGTTGCAGGAAAGCAGATATTTTAGGGAGATTGCTGGATAAAATGGCCAGTGAATGCTTTCTGAATTAATAGGAAATGCATGTAAGGGGGCAATGCCTTTCACCTCTAGCTCCCGTTTTGCACAGTATAATCTTTGTTTGGGGTGGGTGGGAAGGGGAGGAGTTTGAAGCTCCGTGAGCTAACAATATTTTGGAGAAAAGCACAAAATAAATAGTTACAATAAAAAACAACAACAATAATTCTCCCTCTCACAGACACATTTAAAAAGCCATAGAATATTTATCTTCTGAAGAAATACAACCTGTGCCGTTGACAAGTTCACTTTATTTTAGATAGATTATAAGTTTTTATGGCACTTTGTAAATAGTTTTCTTATTTGATAAATGTTGAAAAATTGATTTTGAACAAGAATATTAATTGTGTGAATAATTGTTGCCTATGTGCTGTATGGGTCGTAGAATATTTATCAGCCAAAGGCCTGGTTAAAGAGGAACCTTTTCACCTGGTGCCTAGAGATGTATAATGAAGGCATGAGATGACCCTCCCTGGGGAGAGCATTCCACAAACAGGGAGCTACTGCAGAAATGGCCCAGTCTTGTGTTGTCACCCTCCAGACCTCTCATGGAGGAAGCACATGAAGAAGAGCCTCAGATGATGATTGCAGAGTGTGGTCCTTGAGGTTTTGCGGTCCTGAGCACATATGTTGCATTACAATGTATATGTGTGTTCTATTTCTATAACCCTTTTAAGCATGCATCTGCATTCACCCAAAGTCAGAAAAGAGTCGTGTGTGTGTGTGTGTGTGTGTGTGTTTGCTTGGCACCCTACAATGGCTTGAAGAATAGTAGTATAAATGCCTTTAAAATCATCAGTCTCACCTGTGTTTGCAAAGGGATAATGGCAGTGGTCTTCCTCCCATGATTATTGTGATTATAAAAGCATATACCTGTATACATTAAAAGACTGTAGAAATTATTAATGACAGCAGTAAATGACTTACATTAGCTGACAGCTGTGATGTCAGGGTGGCCACTTTTTCCTGCGATGCAACCAGCTCCCTTCGTAGTTTATGAATTTGCTGGATGTGGGAACAAACACAAATGTCTCTCAAAATATGCCAGTATAACCTTATGCTTTAACTAAGGCTATTCAATATGCGAAATTATAGTACAGTAGAAGAATAGCTGGTGCTGTTTGTTCCAACATTTGTGTATATGCTACAGACAGTACAGTATATCAAAGGCTTCATCTATGGTTTAAAAATTTCCATTAAGATACAACATATGCACATCACATAAATCTAAATTTTAAAGCCTTTTAGATATTTATTTAAAATGTGTGAATGATGATACAAACTGAATTGCATAAGCTTAGTATTAAGCATGTGAAGCATGAGTTAATTTCTATCCAATGCAGTGCTGTGCTGAAAATTTAGGGCCCCCCTTTTTTTTAACCATTCTCCATCAGTTACTGAGAAAACTGTACAGTGGACGCTTGGATTACGAACGTGATCCATGTGGGATGCATGTTCGCAACCCGCAGCATTTTCAACCTGCGTCTGTGCACGCGCGGGTTGCGATTTGATGCTTTTGCGCATTCTCATGGTTGGGGTGTGGGGATTTCGTCATACTTTTCTTATTTCTGAAGCATGTTTGTGAGTGTCCCTTTTTGCATTCTGTACATCATCTCACTTCTTTATCCTCCCTGAAGGCCCACACTTCAGTCAAGTCCCAAAAGAAGACAACATCATGCAGTAACACTCCACACAGGGCTTTTGCAGAACAGGAAGTGCAGGCAGCCCTGAAGGCTAGAGAATGCTGGAGACATGTTTACTGGGGCTGGGGGAGGGGGGATGTCAAACAGATGACCCAACTCCCAGTTGTCTTGCAACATTAAGTTCAAAACCCCACACCCACTAAAATTCTAAAGAAATTGTAAAATGCCAGAAGAATGGGTAAGAAAAATGGAAGCCTCTGTCACAGGGAAATAAAAGTTTTGAGAAAATGGAGGAAAGATTTTGGCATCTCTATATAGAGGATAGATTTTGGCATCATATATATATATATGAGAATGATGGAATAATGACTCAAATGCCCTGCTGAATGAGCAAGAGACATCCCACAAAACATGAACCCCAAGTGTAATACACTTAACCTTTAGTGCCTCTCTATAATATTTTAATAGTTTAATAGCCCTTATCATAAAAGACAGTTAATTATTTGAGTAGCAATGGATTCAATAGGGCGATGGCTGGTAAAGTCAGGTGAGGATAGCAGTAAGAGGTTGCTGGCAGCTGGTGGTGACTGAGGGGGCCTTGTGCCCTTTCTGGTAAGAAAATGTGCTGGCATAAATAGCACCATACAAGTACATGAGAGCTGCCGTCATCATAGGTTCATGCTGGGCATTTGAGGCTATTGAGAAGCACTCTGTACAGCAAAATATTTTGTATAAAATTAAAAATGCCAATCTTTTTACCTCTGAATGTGCCTTTTCTTCAGCCTATGGGAGAGAGTGAAAGCAAGAGCAGTTTATTTATGGAAACATACAGCTGAATTCTATTTAAGAAAATCAAAATAATAGATTTTGACTCAGATAAAAACAAATTCTCAAATATAATTGCAAAAAAACATAGCCTAAGAATGAAGAAAGCAAGATTTTTGGATGCAACTTTGTTTGCAAATGAAGTTACTACTAGTGTTTTAGGACACAACCTTATACACCTGGGAGCAAGTTTTATCAAACATAACAGGATTGACTTGAGAAGATACTTTAAGTCCTGCTGACTCTGTCTTATACCTGAAAGATTTCTTTAAAAATTGTTCATTATCCTGTGCTAGGATTTGAACTGAATGGGCTATTGAAGGACTATATAGAAATTTCAAAAATAAAAATAATAGAGAATAAGGTGGTTCTTAGAACCACCATCAAGCAAAGACTCCTAAAATTTTGGTATAGAAATGTGGATACAGTAGTTCCATGACACTGCCAAGGAACTACCCACATTTCCACATGACCCCAGTTTACAGACTCAAAAGGCCTCTTCCTTTGAAGCATAACACTTGGAATAAAATCAAAGGTAACACAAGAAATTTTACACAAGTCTGCATTAATCAGACACAGCTGTGATATAAAGAGAGCAAAGAGAGTGACAGTCTATTCAATGCATCTTTTGCATCAAAAGTAACAAAGCTTTTTGTACCTCTTATCCCGGTAGTATGACCAGAGGCACAGAAAATCATATAAAAACTTATTTGTGGGCACCATGACATAGTAGTGGGGAGAGTTCGATTTAAAAATATGGAACAGCTACTTTAAACTCAACATGTAGATATGAAAGAAGGCATGGAGCACTGTATAATATCACAGAAGAATGAAATTTTGTTCTTTATGGTCTTCTTGCCTATCACTGAAATCAAATGCTTGATATTTCCACTGAAGTACCATTTCCTGATTAGGGCTTCACAATCATATGAGTTTTATCCCTAGGAGCCTATGAGAACAAAGAGGGGAAACGCTGAACAGGGATTATGTCCTTCAACTACAATTCACACTACTGATTTTATAGTCCAAAAGCATCCCTTGCCCTTAACTAAAAGGTTTTTAGCTCCCATTATCACAGCTAGATACTCAAACGCTGAACAAGAAGTGATGCCGAATGGTGAGAAAGGGAGAAGGGGTCAAGCAACAGAAATCTTAGAATGATCATTCTTATCGGCTGATGTGGTGTGTGGTTAAGTGTATGATTCATAAACACTTGTCCTACTTGTCCTAAAAGTAATGGTTACCTGACTGTGCAATTCAAGCAGGGCAGCAAGTGGCGACTGTCACCTGGCATGGCCATGACTGAGCCAGAGGCAGTCTCCTGGTTCCCGTGCGGTTGGTGGAGGTCACTTCTTCCTTCACCAGCTGTGCGAGCTGCTGCCCCTAGCTTCACCACATAATTTGTCGCTGGATTTCCCAGCCTCCCTGCCTATGCAACATGTTTGCCCGGAAGTGAGCAGGCAGTCCACGCTTAAAACCTTGCTATGGAAGTACAGTGGTGCCCCGCAAGACGAATCATAGAATCATAGAGTTGGAAGAGACCACAAGGGCCATCGAGTCCAACCCCCTGCAAAGGGTTTTCCGTCGCGGAGGCGCTTCGCAAGACGAAGTTCCCTATGGGCTTGCTTCGCAAGATGAAAACGTCTTGCGAGTCTCGCCATTTCCCCCCCGCTTCCCCCCCTTTTTCAAAGCGGCTAAGCTGTTAATAGCCTTTTAACAGCTTAGCCGCTAAGCCCGCTAAGCCACTAATAGCACTAAATCGCTAATAGCGCTAATCCGCTTAGCCGCTAATGGGGTTGCTTCGCAAGACGAAAAAACTGCTAGAAGAAAAGAATCGCGGAACGGATTCTTTTCGTCTTGCGAGGCACCACTGTATTTGGTCACTGTATTCAGAGAGGCCAGGGAGAAATTTGCCTGCAGACTAATTGGGCTTGTCTAGGAATTTTGCATACCACATAGAAATTGTCACAACTTGTTGGCAGATAAGGCATTGGGCTGGATTCTTAGGACTCAGCTATACAGCTGCAAATAAAACGTTTTAAGTGCAATATACAATGCGGCACTAGATGGCAATGGTGAGCCTTATGGAAAAAGCAATGTACAGTGGTACCTCTACGTGCCCCTCTTGTTATGTATCCTTCGGGATATGCACACGGCAAACCTGGAAGTATATTTCCGGGTTTTGCTGTGCACGCATGCACAGTAGTGCTCTATTGCACTGCGTGTGTGCGCAGAACAGGCACCTCCAGTTGCGGAAACCTCAGGATCCAACCGGTGCTCCGGAACGGATCCCGTCCGCAACCGGAGGTACCACTGTATTTTAAAAAACGCTTAAAAAAAACATTTTCAGAACATTTTTTATTTGTGTGTATATTCCATTTTAGTCTAGGCGGTGGGGAGGATGAGGTTGTGAGCCCTCCTCACTTTAAGGAATTGGGATACGCTATTAAAGGGGTCCAGGGAGAGGTGCTTCTGTTCAGATACCCAGATGGGGGATGATAGGCCACAGCACCGCTCAATATGGCACTCTTGAGAGTAGCACCTTGATTTCATGTACGTCTTAACCCAGGATTGCCCCTGCAAAATAATCAGTAGGCAGACTGGGTGATGCAGGATACATACCCAATGGCTATGCCAAAACCTACTGACACCTGTAATCAATAAAGTTGTGGCCTATTTGATCCCAATAGGTTGTCCTGAGTTTATTATATCTTCCCATGCTGTGGCTCCCTCCAATGGTCATGGGCTGACTGCACCTGGGCCTATAGTCTAAATTGCTAATGCAAATATATTTGCAAGCATAGAAATGTTTCAAAAATATAGACAGAGCAAAAAAAATACAGACTGATCGAATGAATCTTGAAGTTCATACACGACAATTTGTGTTTTACATCTACCAGTTCAGTGGAGTTAGCATTTGGCATTCGATCATAAGCAAGTTCAGGTGGCAAGAACATTATTCTGTGCCCTTAAAAATCTGAATTCTCAAGCATATAAACTCAACTGTGCCAAATATGCTCTATGCATTATGCAAATTAAAACTGGATTTTATATCTCCCTTCCCCAAGTCGTTCATATTTGGAACATTGCTCAGTTCTTCAAAAACAGCTGCAGTTAATGTAAGTTGAGATAATATGCAAATTATGAGTGTTAGACACTAAAATTAAATATACAATATGCAAATGTTCATAAGTGCATATATGACTTTAATCTGCAAGCTTTGTTACAAATTTTTAAAATAGAGTGTGGTATTTTAATGGGTAGAGGAGGTTGTTGGAAAGATCTGTTTGGTGGCATGAGAACATACATGGGCAAGTTATCACAACCAAAGCAACCTCAACATAGAGAATATAATTCAATCCATGATTCATCATGAACTTCATGAACAATTGTTTCCAAACATCTCTGTACCTTAAGGAGGCAGCAGCCACGCGTTCAACAAAAACTGAATCCAAAGTATCACACAAGTAGCTTTGCTTTCCAAAGTGGGGCTTAGGTCATGCATTTCCTGAACAGCAGTATACCTCACAGTGTGCTGCAAAATGTGTGATAAGCTTGCTCTATGTTCAATAACTTATCAAAGCTCTAGCTGGGCCAGTAGATTTTCAACCCTAAGTATACCCTGTATTACATGAAATGCATTGCAGTATTTCCTTCTCTCTCTCTTTAGCCAGAAGTTGACATTGTTTCCCAAATTCAACATAAAAATAATAAATTTCCACTGTCTGAAAGTTCAAATATGTCTAATAATTAAAGTCACCTGCTGTCTGGCTCCATAAAAATCATCTTATGTCAGAATCCAAAACGGCAACCTCAAAGCAACGCTGTAATTTCAGAATAATCTTTCCACCTCAGCAGGTCCCTACCAAAGCAATCCACCAAGTGCTATCGGCTCTTTTAATGTGCTCAGAAATGGCGGTGGGACAAGGTGGAATGGCTAAGCATGAGGGCACTGAGCAGTACACAACAACAATGGGCACTGGTAGATTTTGTACAATTCCGCTTTCAAAGGGAAAACACAAAAGATGTTACAGATGGCGAAATTTAACGCAAGGAGGCAGTTGTGCATTGTACTTTGAAAAGTATAAAGAAAATGTTAAAGTCAAACAGCAGTGGGAGATTCTCATTGCCCTACCAATGTCAAATTTCCATCTGTTTCCTGAACCACTTAGCAACCCCCCTGGCTTTCCATGGTATGCACGATATCATGAGGTACAGTCTTTTATATATTGTCAACTTACTGTGGAGTAGAGAGAAGAGGTGCTGGAAACTAGGGATAATGAAGACCCATGTACTGAAAAGAGAAACATCAAGAGCATTATCACAAAGATATTGATGAAGCAACAGGAGTTATTTCCCGTCATGAGCAACAACAGAACATCTCTTTTCAATTAGGAACAACTGAAAAGGGGGAAAAAAAGAAAGCTATTATTGAGGGTATCCATTTAGAAACACGCACACCCCGGTAGTTCCTATAACACCTAGAATGGTTTTTGTCCACTGAAAAACACTTGCCTTTGGATTGTAATAGTCCATTGCCTTTTTGCTAGCAAACAACAATTATGTTACCCTTCTTTGATAGTAAAATGTCATCTGAACATCACCGTTTGGCAAAGCTAAAGGATGACTTCTAAACTGTGATTTGGAATGAAAGTACATCTTGGTCTGTCTGTGTGACTGTGTGTGTGTTTGTGTGTGCATATCCTTCACACAACTACCAACTGATTGGATGACTCAAAAAGCAAATACAGTAATAGAGGGCTCAATCCAGATTTGGGCTATGATTTGGGGGTGGGGGTAGGATAATTTAATCCTAACTTAAAATTCTCTAAATATTTATTTGTGTAAGATAATGGGGAAGATTTAGAATGCCTGAATGGGGCTAACCTATTTTCATTGTTAAAAGCTGAATTTCCAATAAATATTATTGGAACTCCAGAACTGTTACTTTTATTATGATTTAACACTTACGTAGCACTTTAGATAGATATCAGTATCTAACATATTCTAGTTATGATTTACCCTAAAGCCAGCCAGTAAGCTTTAACGGAACAGCATAGATGTGAATTTGATATCCAGACTGAAATGCTCTACCTACTATTATCACTCAGGCAGAATTATAACACCACATTGCTTGCCACTCCCCAGCAAAACTGTGATAGAGATATGCTGGGTCAATGCTAACATCGCCATATTTCTCCATCAAGAAAAATGCAAAACATCATTCCTTTTTTCAGATCGGTAGAGATCTATTCATCCCCACAGTTCAGTCACACCTGTTCCACAATATCCCTTACTTTTCCAATGCTGATATCCTTAGCTGAGGATGTCTAGCCAAGGCCTGCTTAAGCTTCTTGGAACATTACATGGTATAAAGTCAGCAGGGGTGGCTGCAAATGCCAGAAGAAGAAAAAAAGGGATCTGCAAAGCTTGGGCTGCTGCCAACTCTAGACAGAAAAATAGCTAGACAGATAGTGCTTGTGAACTAGAGGTGGGGGGAAACACTGACTTTTTGTGTAGTGAGGCAGTGTGGGAGAGCTTAACTAGGCACGTAGCCAGCAACTCTTGAGAAAAGTGGGGAACGTGAAAATCAGGCTGATGAAAGCAAAAGCCTGGGAGAGCTTCAACAGCTTAGCAGCCCGGGTGGCATGGATCATCATCCCTGGCAGAAAGATAAACAGCTGTGAATTATTGTCCCAGCAGAGATCTGAATAGGTAAAGCATATGGGAGGTTTTTAGAGCTTGACAAAAAGAGTCTGCATGAATACTCATTTGAGTACAGATAAGCCTAAATATGTAAGAATGCTATATTATGTTGTAATAATTATAGTATATGGCAGCTGCCTTCGTTTTTAACAAAGTTCTGCATATTGAAGAACTGCAATTGTCTAAATATTAAAGAGGAGTTGTTAGCACATCTGCCTCACCAACAACTAGCCTCTGAGTGTATTCATATTGTAGTGGTACCACAGGGCTACGTGGCAGGGTTTAACGCATATCTGCACCTAAACATGTACATGTGTATTCAAACACAATTCACCTTTATCATATTTGTAGCCCTCTCTTATCCTACTTTAACCCCTGACCGACCCTATAAAGTTCAAAGCTGAGGAACTGTGTCTGGCCCAAATGACCTGAGCAGGAATTTGAATTCAGATCTTTGCAGTCAAACACTTTCCCCTCTATTTAGGTGCAATGCCCCAGAATGGGCTGCTCTGAAAGCGAGCCTGCTCACAATCTGTGATTTGGGCTAACAAACCAGGATGTGAAACCACAGTTTGAAGCTGGTTTGCAAATTATAGTTTATGCTTACTGTGGTTTGCTGTTATGCCTGTGTGAAGTAATAAGTCTTTCAGCCTGTTTGTAAAATTGCTGCTTTTGCTTTTGAACATTTTTGTGCAGAGGATGGCGAGAAGTTCACAGGAAGATTTAAAGTACAAGGGGCTGCTTTGTTCACAGGAGAGTCAAAAGTTTAAGAGATGTTTTGCCCAGTAAGCTTTGCACTGACAGATGGGGTGCTCAGTTGGGTGCTACAAGATGAAGGAACCAGGAGAGGACCATGAAGAGACCCAAAAGGATGCAATTTGGCAAGTGTTGGCTTGATTACAAAAATAGAATAGGTGTAGCTGGATGCATTTTCCATTTATCTTTGAACAGTTAACACATAAAATGAAATCAATCTGTAAAATAAACCTGTTGTACACCTGAAGCTGAAACTATGGTGTGGCTTCTTAACTCTAGCTAACTCTATGGCACAAACCATAGTTTCATGCTACATCAAAAGGCAGCCTCTGTTAAATATACCACACATAGCCTTACCTTCTTCCATGCTGTCTCTGAATGACCCAGAGTGACTGATTGCACGTGGTCTATCTTCCAAGGATGTGGCACTGCCACACAACTGGGAATCATCGTAAAGATCGAAAGAAGAATCTTGTGCAGGGATGCTGTTGGACCGCATCATACTGGGCCCAGGGAGTTTGAATTGGGATAAGTTTGTTGGACTCACTGAAATAAATAAATAAATAAATAATAATAATAATAATAATAATAATAATACCATAAGTTTTGATTACATATTACTGCACTGCAGGGGGAAAAGAAAGCTCTGTCAAATAACATTTGGGCTTTTAATTTTTTGATGAATTAGAAACACTTTTAGAGTGGTTTCTCATAAGCATGTTTGGCTTATTTTTGTCTGAAGCTCCTCCCTACCGAGTTAAAACAGATCCCATAGAAAAAGGATTTTGCTTTCAATAGTTCCAAATTTATTTACAATTATAATATGGTATTTCCTAAATCTGTAGTATGGAGATATTTTTGCCAGGATTACCAGTATCTGCTCAAGCAACATTTTCCCCCTGCTATAAAACACACACACACACACACACACACACACACACACACACACCAACCCTCATATTAAATGGGAACTTTCATATGTGTGGGCTTTATCGAAAAGAGAAGTAACAGACCCTCCTCTTGGTTCAAATGCTGCTCTCACGGTTTGGAAAGCTGTTTTTCAACAAGCTTAAAGAGAACATTTTTGACCCATCTAGCTGGTGTGGAACTAGGTCCAAGGAAAACAGCATTTATCTGCCCCTTCAGACATTAGGGTCAAATATTTTGAACTAATGGCGTACGGCAAGATGTTTCCAGCATTGCTGGCTGTGTCTAAAATAAAAATGTCTGGAGCAGTATTTTTCTGAGAGTCTTTTAACACACTGGGAAAATGGCCCACAGAGAAAAGAAATGCTAGAGGGGTGGAAGAAAGCTTTTGCAATAAGCCATTGTACTGGGTCACCACACTGGAGGAAAACTAAACCACAGAAACACACTGATTTGTTTCTACCAAAGGGAAAAACTGTTACTATGTCTAAGTTTAACCTTGTCTACACTTGTAGTCTAAGCCTTGACACACAATTATACTGAAATAAATGGAACTTACTTCTGAGTAAATGAGATGTGGAACTTAAAAATGCTCAGCAAAATGTAGGAAAAGAATGCACTTTTAAAAAGAATGCACTTTTAATTATTTTCTTTGACAGGTGATTTTTCCAGCCCAACAGTCAAAGTTGGCCCATTGGGAGGTTGGTACAGATAAGGATCTGCTCACTGGGCTAAAAAAAAATAATTTTTTTAAAAAAAATTCTCCACCCCTACTTTAAATGCTGAGGTTCCAAGCTGTGCAGCACTTTAACCAGTACTAGGAACTGATCCCCAGAATGGACTGGGAGACAAGGAATATGTTCAGATACGGTAGGAGCAGAAAAAAAAATGCATGCTTTATTTTAGATAGCTGAAGTTATGCATTCTAAAAGAGTGAGGGAGAGCTTAAGATGGATAAAGGAAGCTCAGTAATGGAGTAGTACTGCAAATAGTTTCTTTTTCTTACCTAAGTTGGAAAAGTATTTCCCAGTTGCAGATGAAGACATGGCTGTAGGAGATACCAAAGGAGACTGACTTCCAGTGTCTTGCAGCCCTCCAGTAGAATGAGAACGCAGCCACTCTTTCCCTTCCTCCTGACTGGCCTGCCGAGAGGATGGCGTATACCTGAAAGACATCACCACTGATACACTAAAAACTTCCACATGAACTGCACTTAGCAGGAGATTTGTGGCTTGGAATCAAGCAATAATCAGACAGTTGGTTTAGTCAATGCTGAACAGGGGACTTGGGGTCATGTCACCCAAGAAACAGACGGACAAACAATCAGCAATACATATCTGCATGTGATGGGAAGACATACAAAGGAAACAGCTAAGCCTTATTATAATTTTTTTTAAAAAAAGAACAACAACAAAACAACAATTCTAACACATAAAAAAGATAAAGCAAAAACTTAATTTCAAGCATATCAACAAGGTTGGAAAATGAGAGCTTGGTAGTGAGGAGAGACGGGTGTCCAGTTCCTACATTATACGAGCTACAGAAACATAGTATACAGGTTGGCTGAAAGCAGAAGAAAATGGAAGAGCAGCTGTGAAAGAAATGCATTTTTGTTAGTGACATCTGAAGGGACAAAATACAGTGTTTGTCTCTCAGAAGGGTCGGTCCTTGATGCTATGCCCTACCCCCAAACTGGTAAGATTTAAGGGATGGGGGAAGAAAAATACTCACTTTTAAAGAAAAGTGTTTGCAGAAAGAAAAAGCTTTGGAAACCCAACCTCTCAAAGACTTTTGGGTGCTGCTGCCAAATACAAAAATGTAACTGCACCAGCAGCACACACACTGCAGCCCACTGGCCAAACTTTGCGGCAGGGACTGAGAAAAGCAAATTCTTGAATGGATTAACATGGCAAGTTAACTGTGCAGGCATTTCAGACAGTTCGGATTTCAACTCAAGAGTGTGCACTTTCTTTGTCATTGTACAAGTAGGCTTCGTTCAGCCAAATTTCTTGCAAACCTATATATTACTGTACGTAGTTCCAGTACCATTTTAAACAACAGTGGTGGGATCAAAAACGTCACCCCCATCCAGACAAGTCTACCATTGTTGGCTGTTGCAGTTCCCCCTCCTTGAGTGCACTGGGAGCTTTCTGCTGTTGTCACAATGAGAGTCCTACATCTGTACAAACAGGACTGCATAGCTGGGCTGCAAAACTTTGGTGAAACTCTTAGAACAATACCTGAAACAGGCACAAGGGGTGGGGTTCCCACATTAACTTCAGGATTGCATGCCACTATATTTCAGGCCTCCAGAAAGCCTCCATGTGGGAGATGGTAGTTCGGATTTATTTTCCCTCCCTGGCTCTTATGGTAATGTCTCAGATTCTACAGGATGGCGTGCAAGGAAGAGAACTGCTGACTGAATAAACACCATCTACGTTTTATTCCAGGAGACACATTAAAATGCTCTGCCATCTGCAGCGTAGTCAAGATTACTACCCAGTGCATTCTTTTTGATGAGCAGACAGGTTCTTCAGATTTTTCCTTTTCAAAGCCCCTGGCAGACACAAATTGAGGGTTGGCACCCCAATGTGCTACAACTCAAGTGCAACAGAAGAAGTCATATATTGTTCCTGCGTAGAAAATACCAGCAGTGACAATTCCAGATGCTTAACCAATGGTCCTAGCCCTCTGAGTGTGTGATTAAAGCTGGAAGCAAAGGAAGCTTACTGCAGTTCATTGACTAACATGTTTTTTTCTGGGGGGAAATATGATTACTCCGATCTGAATAAGTGGGAAAGTTTTAGAGGAATTAATTCCTATCGGACAGAGGGCAAGGAACAAGTGAAAGTGAAAGAACATTAAAAAGGGGGGGATTCTTATTGTAAATTGATTTTATATTAGTTGTTTCACAGGAGAATCAGGATACACAGTGACAAGAAAAGGATGAAATATTATAGAAAAAAGTTACGGAACAACAGAGAAACAGCAGCCATGCTGAATAAAACATCGTATACCTTAATCCCTTTTTGGGTAGTGTATTTCTGTCAAGTTGCATGCTGTTAAAACAAAGAAAACCCCTAAGGACATATAGTAAAAAGAGCACTTCAAAATTATAAATTCTAAAGTGTTGTATCACAAAAAAGGCATTCGGATTTATTTAAATGTATTCCTAGAAAGGTACCTTTTATGCAACACTCAAAATCATCAGTGCAAGTAATATACTGCTATTTTTTTCTCAAAAGGAAAAAAAATTGTCATACTTTTGTAAAGAAAATACATATTGATTTGAGAATTTGCTTAATCTTATTCCCATTCCAGCTTTAGTTATTACGGAATTTGAGCATAAGAGTCCTAGGAAGGATAATGTGGGCAACAAGGTCAGAAGATTTATCCTGTTTCAGTTTGGTTGTCTTCCGTAAAGACTATTACTCTGTTGAAGTCTAGCATCACCAGGGAATAATTATTATTATTATTATTATTATTATTATTATTATTATTATTAAACAACTTATATTCAGCCCACCCAACTGGGTTACCCCAGTCATTCTGGGCAGGTTTTCAAAGGTTAAGTAAAAAACTCATTTCAAAAGAACAACTGGGGAACATATTGCGCCTGGTTCAAGTACAGCATCAATCATCATCATCATCATCATTATAAATGTGGATATATGCAGAAAAGGCTGAGACTCTATCATAGCACTGTATCAAAAGTGAATCACTGTTGAACAAAGTATCTAAACTGAATTTCCAGACAAAATTTGTCGCATTTCAGTCCCATTGAAATCAATGGGGCAAGTTACCCATGACTTGTAAGCCCCAAATGATTTCAATAGAACTAAAAGATAAGGAAATCCATCTCAATCCAAACACATGAGACAGAGCCTGCCCAAAGTATTCTCTGGCCATGCATCAGCTGAGGAAAGGGAACCCACTCCGTAGCATGAGGATAAAAGCTGCTTGAAGAACTACTAGCAATGTTTTGGTGTGACTGTCAGCACCATTTTTTAGGGTTTACATCTTCTTGACTGAGATGCCCAACCAATCATTAATATCAATGGGTGCCAGCTTGAATGACCCCCTTCTCCTCCCACTGCTTGCTGTTCAGGGGCTTCTCCAAACCTCACCCAACCAAAAGGGGAATCTTTTATTGCAAGTACATCTTAAAACCTTTTAATATATATCAACTAATAATGATTGGTAGAAAACAATGTGTGTCTCAAAGAAAACCACTTTCGCTTTGGTTTCTGATATTGTTGTTCTGTATGTAGCTGTGGAGAGACTGTTATTACAAGAATGGTTGATGGATGAGTCACTTATTTGCCAAGCCTCATAAGACAGATCTATAATCATTATATTTGAAGGGCCTTGTACAGACGTTCTTTGGATTTGCACACAGGGGATATTGCAAAAGCAGCTTTGGGCTCATACTGGTTACATGAACATCAGCCTATGCACATAGCGATGAATCCTGTGATCTATAGACTAGAAAACAAGACATATGGATCACAAAGATGTTCAGACTAGTATGTACATGTTGATGGGAGGGTGTTTCAGTGTGACCATGACTCTTCCTTGTATTTTAAACAGTCATTAAAATAAACAAAAACTCAGGAGTTGAGAAAAGTTGAATAATACATGAAAAACACCAGCAATAGCAGAACCATTTAAATCCATGTATTATTCAAAACAAAACAAAAAACAGTCACCGACTTATCAAATATAATGTTAAGATTTCAGGTTTTCTTACACATTCCATAGAATAAACTACTTACCAAACTCCAATTTACATAATATCCAAATAAAAAACAAGCACGTATCAGGATATTATAATGATGTGCTGCATCAAACTGACAGAACCATGATTTATTTATTTTGCCCAACCCGTACTACAATTTAGAAACCCACTTATATAGAGGACTTAGTTTAGTTTGGAGGATGAGATATGGATGTTGGTCCAAGACTCCTGGGTCCCTTGAATGGCCACAACTAGAGAGGTGCACAACCTGTCACATTTTCCATTTATTTGTTCAATTGCATCAGATGCCCATAGAAAGTCCATGCATTGTCTTAAATATATTTTGGTTTTAGGAGCCTCACACTGCTCATCAGATGTGCATTAGTATGTGCATCCAAATACTGGAGCTTTCCACTTCTTTCAGTAGAATACATAATGAAACACAGAAGCCCTGGCTAGCTTATATATGCTAGAATTTGCTTATTGAGTACATCCATTTCCCCTGCCCCCAAACTGAATGCCAGTCAGACAGGTGGGACCACAATCTCCAAATGAGAAATCAAATCCATTTGATTACCATGGCTTTGTTTCTCCATCTGTGGACATGGCAAGAGATGTGGGGTTGTTGCAGGCTAAAAACAGAAAAAAATGTTGCTATATACCCTAAGCCTGATAGACACCGTGGACTACTGAATGACGTATATAAGTATTCATAAAATAAGCCATGTTGGTTTCTAACATGAATATGAACAAATAGAAATTAAACCACCTACTTCAAATGCTACTTAATAGCGTCTAATACTGATTATTTTCCTACTAAAAACACGTGTATCAGTTTTGGAAAATTGTGTTATTTTGCAGTTTGGGCTTTAAAATAATTTACATAGACATGAAATTTGTTGGAAATTTTAAAGAGGATATCATTTTATGTGTGCAAATTTTACTTTATGTAGTTTTAAGTAATTACAAAGTAGTATCAGTACATATAGGGACGCGGGTGGCGCTGTGGGTAAAAGCCTCAGCGCCTAGGGCTTGCCGATCGAAAGGTCGACGGTTCGAATCCCCGCAGTGGGTCGCTCGCTGCCGTCCGCGCTCCAACCTAGCATTGAAAGCCCCCCGGTGCAGTAGATAATAGGACGCTACTGGCGGAAGGTAAACGGCGTTTCGTGTGCTGCGCTGCTGCCAGATGCAGCGATGTCATCTGACCACTGACCGGAATGTCTCGACCGCTGGCCCCGCCTCTGAAATGGGCACAAGTATCAGACTGGCCGTACGGGCAGGGGTAACCTTTACCTTTTTTATCAGTACATATTTAACCTGCTTTGCTATATCTGAGGTACTTAGTTGATGCAAACTTTGCCTATGGCTTTCCCTCCATCCTTTCCCTCCACTAATGGTGTGGAGAGGAAACATGGACCCGTGCCCTTTGGCTCTGTTCCCAATATGTGGCAAAATGCCTGTTAAGTGCATAGGCGTATGTTTGCATATGGAGGGAAGGTTCTGAACAAATATTAAGTAGCAATTAGACTGTGACTGTTACATTGGAGCGTGATTGCTTTGTCGGCGCATAGATCATCCTGCTGGCATTGTATTGACTGGATGTTCATTGGTAGGGGCAGAGTTTTTCCTTTTATTTATTTCAAACAAAATTTATATACCACTCAAATGAAAAACCTTTATGTGGTTTTAGCATTTTCATCTGCTTATGTGCTCCAATTTGAATTCCCTTCCATTTTTTAAAAATGGCTTACCGTAGTTCCACCTAAGGCCAACTCATGAGAGTAAAACCTGCTGGAAAAGGTGGGGGAGGGTTGCTAATATCATTAAATTCAGCACAAGTAAGAAGGGATCTGCTCCAAATGAATGGCTTCCGCTGCGAAAAGGAATATATTTGGAAACAACTGCATTCTCTGTGGCCACTATACCGTCAAAGTAACATTTTAGGGTTTCTCTGTTGTAATGCAAGTCTGCACACATTGTGATTTCCCCAGGTACACATGCTGAATGCTTGACAATCTCACTATTTTTATAGCTCCAAGCAAGCTTGGGTCACAAATCATGCAGACCTATTTTAATACATTCTTTTACAATCCAGATGACCAACAATTATTTTATCTGTTTTGACAGATTGGGGAAAATCCCCCCACCCCAAATGCATCCAAGTTAAGCTAGAGGGAAAGGGAGCTGGGTAGAATATTTTTTATCTCTTGCGGTTAAATTATTTATGGAAGCGTATAATCGGTCTTATGTAACTGCTCCCGCAGAAAAACAATGACAGCATCAAACCAGAGAAAGCTAAGGAGTACTCTTAGCTTTCTCTGGATTGATGTTGTCGTTGTGGGAATTTAGGTGTGCTTAACCTTCCTTGGCTCAGGGCCTCATTATGCACCTTTTAAATCTTTTGCAGATAATGTAGCAAATCTAAGATTGACCTAACCTTGTACCTGCATTTGTGAACTGTGCATATTCACAACGAGGTAGTAACTCAATGGTAGATAAGGACCTATGTTTAGTTCAAATATCAAGTAAAAAGCCAGAATTCATCCCTTAATTCAATCGCCATTATGGTTTAGGGAATACAATGAATATGTACATTATGGCCACACTGCATATGCAAATCCAAAGCCACATTTGTAACAAATCATCATCTCCCTGCTGAAGAGAAAGAGGGTATAGGAAAGTGTCTGGCTTACACAAAAGATATGGGCTACCTGTTTCAAGGTACCATACTTAACCGTACAGATTACATTGTACTGCACTGTATCAGTTACAGCTCAGAGAAATCCCAAAAAGTGGCAGGACAGAAGAGAACAGCTAAATGGACGCTTTTCTGCAAGTTGGAGCCCCCTTCAGCCTAGTTTGTCAGCCATCTGCTGTGCCTTGAATGGACACCAATATAACAGAGGGATGGAGTGGTTTTTGCCTGCCCTCACTTGGAAAATGCTATGAGATGGATGTTTTATAGGACTGGGCTATGCTTAGAGAGCTGTGCTGCTGTAGAATCAGTTGGTTTATGCTGCGTGTTTTGCCTCTTTAACTGCTTAACATTTGTAAATACACATATATTAGGAGTCTACAAAGACTGCTCCATTCAGTGGAGTACTCATGCAATTTCAATGCTCTCTCAAAGAATACTTGGAAAAATGCAAAGCCGAGACAAAATTATTATTTTATCTAAATACCCTTGAGGCAGAAATAAACTCAATAGCTATTCCAAAAATTATTTTATAATGTCTCCATGTAGTTATATTTGCTAAAGAACAAATATGGAGAATCCTTGAGATTTAATACAGTGTACAAATCTGCAACAGAGCTCATATAGCATAGTATATAAGAGAATAAGAAAGGCGCTGGTTTGAATAGGAGCAGGCTGTGCTCATTGTTTATGTCTGGGCATAATGCTAAACCTTGATTTAACATTATGAGAACTAGTTAAGATGAACACAATTAGGGTTGGGACAATTTTGACAGCTGGGCGGGACAACCTGTATGCCAATCGTGTGATATCATAAAGATGCCATGTGATTGACAGATGTGCTGCCCCACCTGCCTATCAAAGTTGGCCCATGATCATGACCCTGATCCAGAGAATGTGGAATAAAAATGCCGATGTGCCTTATTATCTTATTATACAGGACTGCCTCTCCTGGTATGCCCTGTGGAGGACCTTAAGGTCCATAAATAGCAACACTCTAGAGGTCCCGGGCCCTAAGGAAGTCAGATTAGTTGCCCTTGGTGAAGATTTGACATTTTCTCCCCCCAAACAGTTTTTTATCTGGGCTTCCACTGAAATGAGGCTGCATTTTAAGTAGTATTTTATTCTTGTTTTTAAGCTGTATTTTAATTAATTGTTTTTATACCTGATGTTAGCTGCCCTGAACCCAGTCTTGGCCGGGGAGGGCGGGGTATAAATAAAATTAAATAAATAAATAAATAAGAAGATAATGCCTATGAAGTGCTTTTTTTATAGTGCATCACAATGGCTACCTGTGAACATTTGCCTATCAATTTGTATTTTTAATGTGATAGCATTTACTCTCTGCATAGGTACACTGACTGCGTTATACTCAGATTCACTCAAAATCGTTGTTATACAGATAGGAGAATATAAGTTGGAGTGCTTAATGGCCAGTTTAAAGTTTTGATGCTATGGAAACTATTAACCTTTTAAAATGTTTAAATGTTTTAGAAAGTTTCATGCCTCACTTTGTAACTTCAGACTAAGTTTTTTTTTCCAAATTATAAACTGAATAGATTTTAGAGAAATAGTGTCACTATTTAATTTATAAATCTGTGGTTTGATTTTCATGTTACTCTTCCCAGATATACCATCTACCGGCATAATCTTGATTGGAATGTTTTCCAGAGTGTAGAAGGAGGTTTCTTTTTTGTTGGCTCTAGTTTATTGTGTATGCCCAGTGCACACTTTCCCTCCTTTCAGTCTCTGGGTCAAATAAATATGGAAGTGGTTGTTGTTGTTTTTGGAGCTGCAAGTATTTGTAACGTAACATACACATAGGAACTGAAGGTAATTTCCCAGGTGTAAACTAAATTACTTCAGAATAAATATAACAAAAAATGCCGCAGATATGAAGCAGTGGTGGGCTTTGGGTTCTCAAATTTCAGCGGCACACTGTGCAACACTAAAATTCGGCACCCTCTGCTCTGTTCTGCAGCATTGATGTGGTGCTCCCTGCAAAATGGTGCTCTGAGTGGCTGCCCCATTTGAAGTACCCTAAAACTGCCTCTGATGAAAGCCCTCAATGGAATCATCTGTTCTACTGAGCATAAAGACTTTGGAAGTACTGCAGAGCTTTCTACAAGGAGCGTTTCCAGTTATTTTACTTTTTTCCCCTCCCCTATTGTTGGTTTTGATTTGAGGATATATTTCTAAAGCCATGCTTCTGGCTGCTTCCATTTCCCTTGCCTATCTTATGACCCTTATCAAAATACTTCTCTCCATGGCAAACTCACCTTTCTGAAAGGGTAGATCTCACACTTCCAGTTCTCATGAGCAGGCTCTGAACCTCTTGAGTGCTTGTGGTCAATCCAGACAGGGAGCCATGGTGGCTGAGAGGGAGGTCAATAGATTCAGAGCTTGTGTGGAGGCTAGTCATTGACTGGTAACTTGGTGTGTCCTTACTGCCAGCAGAGGAACTACTCAGGTTTGCAGCCCACACGAGACCGCCTGACGTGAAAGAGTGGGCTGACGCCGGGCTAGAAGCCAAGGAGTGACTTAAACTTACAACATCTGTATTCAGGTCCGAGGGTTTGCTGAAGAGAGGGCTACTGCCGCCACTCTGCCCACCTGCACTGCCCATGCTACCTGTACCTGAGGATGGAGATTCCAGGCTGCCTTGCCGAGCTAACGTGGTACTAGGGCTGGGCATTGCAGATGTGGATTTGGCACCTTCTGTATTTGGTGCAGGGGCAGTTTTGCCACTTGCTTTGGCACCAAACAACCTACGGGAAAAAACAAATGAAAGAAACAGAAGTGTTATTTGGAAAAGCCAAAGTTTCACGTAATAATGCTCTGAAAGCCAAGGCACGGGAATAATGAAAACAGCTAATATAAGGCCCTTCTCTCCCCCCCCTCCATTGCTTCTCACAATCAAATCCGCTTAAGCCCTTGGACATACTTTATTTTACTGTTTCAAAAGCATTAATTCCAAGATTTGTCTTTTGAGAGGAAACAGACCTTCCCAGGGAGATGAAAAGCACAACAGCCCTGTGTGATGAGATTGCATAAAAAGATTAAACTTTCACCCAAATCCAGTGGTTAGCACAAAATCTTCAGTAGTTAAGACATTTGTTTTTAAATTAGCACAGCATGGGCTGGACAGCCTTGTAAATAGTTGGACACCCCCCCCCCATTTCAAAATCTTTATTTTTTATTTTTAAAGAAGTAATTATACTTATACGACATGCAAGATGCTAATTTGAGGTCTGTTCCCTATCTGCGTATGTGTGAAAAGATTTTGCAATTGTGTGTGGGGGTGGGGGTGGAGAAATACTATTTTAAGTTTTGGATATACAGTTAAGGGTATGACAATTTCTGTTTCTGCGGGGTCTGAAATATTCTACATCACCTTATGCAAAGGGTTTTCTAGATTTACAGTGCAGTGTACTAAAAGGAAACAAAAAGCAACTGGCATAACGTTTATGATAAAAACCATAGCAACCAAAATAGCATATTTGATAACTCTTATGCAAAAGCGTTGTGCTGGCAATTAGCCACAAGAGGGCAGCATTGACTTTGTTTCAGCAAAGAAATAGGCTTGGATTCCTAAGATTTATGTATAGTGCAAAGTTGCTAAGATCAGTAAATGCTGATGTTCGGATGCCACCAGCAGTGTAAAATAGAATGATGGATTTTATTTTGCACCCCCTCCCATCTGAGTTCCTACTGAAAATCCTGTTACAATATTAGAAGATCCAAAACCAATGGGTTGTATTCAAACCAGCTTTACTCAGTGTAGACCCATTGAAATCGATGGCCTAGTAGGCCCATTCATTAAACTGTGTCTATTCTGATTAAAAGTTAGCTGACTACAACCCAGAACATTTTAAAAACAATTTGCAAAATATATAGTTAATGAAATTCAGTTTCCTCATCTGCATCCATTAGCTATCCAGGAAAAATTACAATCAGAAAATTACAATCAGAAAAATTATAGTCAGAGTGACATTTATTCCTTAATAATCCCTCATCAGGAAGCCTTTCAGTTTGTTAAAGGAATACTAAGCTGTCTCTGATATGCCCTTCTCGGCCACTACCTATACAAATCACGTTGTTTCAGTTCCTCCAGGTCCCACTTCCAGCCCTATGTATGTGGGTGGATGGGAAAACTGCATTTGCTAACAGTTTCTACAAGCAAAACTTCCCAACCCCAGCTATGCTGTTGCACCCTGAGTTAGCCACCTGGAATAGCATCAATCTGCTGTTAATGACTGGATTTAGGCCCTGCCCCAATTATTTCCTCCCTGATGGACACTCTTCAGAGTCTCTAAAGAGGACACAACCAGGATGCTGCTGTATGGAGCTTTAGAGAGAGGGACGCACACAGCATAGAGCTTTATTGATTTTCAAATGATTTAGCAATCAAAGTTCATGGGTTGGAATGCCAGTGGGGGTGGGAGGTGGTTCTCATCGGCTGCTTTTCACTTCACAGCCATGATGGTTCTCTCTGATGCCTACTTGAAAGGCTCTGAACTTGTACTCTAGAACTTTCCTAGGGGTTACTTTATCTGAGAAATAAATCTTTGCATTTCTATTGCAGAATCAGAATGGACCGGTGTTCACTTATCTAAATATAAAACATCACTTCCGAGAGCCGGAGGTGATTGCGGGAAGCAGAATATAAGTCTGTGATTGCTCTGTAGAATTCTCGGGAAGGAAACAGAATAAATAGTGGAATATGAGGCCAATATTAATATCAGTTGCTTAAAGAAGAAAACTTGTTCAGTTCATACTTACAGATGAAAAAAGGGGTCTCGTCTGATTACAGTGGTACCTTGGGTTACATACGCTTCAGGTTACATATGCTTCAGGTTACAGACTCTGCTAACCCAGAAATAGTACCTCGGGTTAAGAACTTTGCTTCAGGATGAGAACAGAAATCATGCTCTGGTGGCGCAGCAGCAGCGGGAGGCCCCACTGGCTAAAGTGGTGCTTCAGGTTAAGAAGTTCCAGGTTAAGAACGGACCTCCGGAACGAATTAAGTACTTAACCCGAGGTACCACAGTATAAGCGATTGACTAGGTATCAATGTGGGGAGGACAGAAAGTTGCCTTATACTGATTCTGACAATCTAGCTCAATATTGTTTACACTGACTGGCAGCACTCCAGGATTTCTGGCAGGGTCCTCTCCCAGCACTACCTGGCCATGTTGGAGATTGAACCTGAGAGCTTCTGAATGGAAAGCAGATGTTCTACCACTGAGCTATGGCACTTCCCCTCACACAAAAACAAGCTGAGTCCAGGCCCCCTGGTACACAGGTGGCAGATTGTAGGTTTGGAGAGAATGAACCTATGGTCAGCTTGTAAATACACTAAAATATCACAAATGCCCCCAAGTCTGCAGTGATATCATTCCAAAAGAAACCAGGCCTAGGTGGCATGCTGTTCCTCTGGAACTTCTCGACTCTCTGGGCAGTGGGCCGAGCATAACACTGCCATTTCACAGAAAACCCCTTACCTTCTGAATGTGGGCGAGGCAATGTCTGGATATTTTGAACCTGGCTGCCTGAGGCCTGGTGTTCCACAGGCACTGGCTGAGGTTGGACTTGATTTTGGAGAGCTGGACAGCGACACACTCTCAGAATCAGAAACGGCCACTTTTTCCTTCTCTTTGTCTGTCTGGTTGATGGTGACAGGGCTGGAGCGCCCTGAGCCAATCTTCGTAGGTTCCCTCAGTTTGTTGGTAGCGGCGGCCCCTGCAGACTTGCTGCTCACGTTGGAGTCGATGCTGCTGGTGCTTGACCTGTGTCCGCCTCTGCCAGGAATCCCACTTGTGCTTGACTTCGAAGGACGCGGCAAACTTCGGTACTGCAGGGTAGTCTTTGAGCTCACGTGCAGCACGCCGTCGTCTTGATTCTGTGAGCCATCTAGGCTGGTTTTCCTCCCTGCATTGGACTTCCCACCAATAGCTGCAGATTTGGGCATCTTCCCCAAGGTAGCCGATCCACTTGTTATGGTTGCACCGCTTGCAGAGATTATGGTTGAAGAGCCAACCCCAGCTTTCTTGAAACCAAAGGAACCGGTAGCTGTTGATCTGCCAATGCCCGAGGGTGGCTTTTTCCCCTCGTCACCACTGCTTTTCCCCGCATCTGAAGGTGAGCGCTGGATAGAAGCTCCTTTGAGGGGAGTTTTTCCTTTTTCTGAAGCCTTTGCATCATCTGTTTTTCCTAACAGAAAGCAGAGTTTTTGTAGGAATTCATATTTGCAGCAGTACATTTTCAGTAAAACATGCAAATATGTAGAATGATAGTTTTTTATGGTTTTTGTAAGAGAGAAGTGGTTTGGCATTTCAGGATGAGAGGTGTGTAAAACTGCCAGGCAGAATTCCACCATGCAATGTACTCATTTTGTCAATGGCCATAGATCGCTTGAGATATTCTGGTTGATTCACTGAACTACATCCCCCCCCCTGCCATACTTCCCCATTATTAACATTAAATTGACCATAGATGTCTGCATACTTCACTCATCCATGTACAGCAATGAACTGAATCAGTTTTTAAACCCATATACACAAATTCACAAGACCCTGTCAGGATGTTTGGAAGAAGTCAGAACCTATGGAGACCATTTCATCAGAGAGTTCAGTTAAACTCAATTTAGGTGGAGTTCTGAACTACTCACAGTGGCCAATCAGATGCCTATACCACCTTTCCCCTCGAATAATATACGTTTGCTTTGAGCCAGAATTCATTTGCTATTAATATTGTAAGGTAAAGGTAAAGGACCCCTGGACGGTTAAGTCCAGTCAAAGGCAACTATGGGTTGCGGCGCTCATCTCACTTTCAGGCCGAGGGAGACTGCGTTTGCCAACAGACGTGTGGTCAGCATGACTAAACTGCTTCTGGTGCAACGGAACACCGTGGCAGAAACCAGAGTGCACGGAAACGCCGTATAAGGAAAAACAGAATGGCACTATTACTACTTGTGATCCGGACTTATAATTTAGATGATGCAACCTAGAATTACAAGTATTCTGCTAAAACCCTTGATGCTTTTCACTCGCACTGCTGTTAAATCAGGTGTCACCTATTCTGTATTTCTGTACCTGATTTTTGCTTCCTAAGTACATAATGCTTTATTTATTTTTGTTGAAATTGGCTTTGTTAGTTTTGGCCCAGAACCTATTAATGTGAAGTAAGAGCCGATCTGCTTTCTTTAATTGTATTGCATTGGCAAGTTGGAATCCTTCCTATGACTTGTAAAATAGTGTATGCTTGTAATTCCAAGCATTGTGAAACAAGCATACCGAATTATAATATATTCATCACCATTCACATTAAAATTCATTGTTATTGTCTATCCCGACACATGCAACCATTATTAGCTGTTTGCAGTTAATAATAACACTTAGCTAAATTTGGTTGGCGTAGCCTTATAGCTTGTACTAAAAGCTGTTGGAAACTCTTCAGGCCTATTACTTAGGAATAATTGCAGGTTTCAGATGTGGTGTCCAACGAACTAAAATGTGTCTATTGATTTTCATTTCGTTCATCTATCAATTTTGAGTCACTCATTACTAACACAAACATGCATAGTGCTATTTTAAAGTAATCTTTCACAAATGCCGAACCTTCCTTATTACACAGTGAATGCTAAGTGTATCTGAAATACCAGCCCAACTCATACATCTCACGCTTAGCAATTATCTGAACAGCAACTCTAATTCTCTCTAGAACTCTATAGCTGCCTCTTTCTACTCAAAAAGAGAAGACGTCATGTGGAAATTTCCCTAACCCGTTCTCAGGGTCTTATGAATGAGAACAATAACTTGGAGCAATTTGCACAACCGACTGCAAGTTCAGTTTCTGATGGTGCCCATTCCTACCAGGCGTCTTGAGAGTGCTTGTTCCTGTTTTGTGCCTAGATGGCGCTGCTCCTACTTGTGCGGTCATGCCTCTTCTCCAGGAGCCAGTCTGAGAGACAGACAGAGAGGTTTTCTGGCCCCCCTTCTCAGCATCTTCAAGTGCTCCAGAGGGATGGCCCTTCCACTTGCCACTGCCGTCAATGTTGCTGTCAAAATCTTCCTCTGCTTTCTTCAGTTCCTCGCTGCTGCCCCACGGTTCGCCATCTGTTACTGAACGTTTCTCTGAATCAGTCTTCAGCTATGAGGAATTGATATCATGAAAATTACTCAGTAATTGTCTGGCTTTTATTTTCTTTCACTACGGCATGAGAGTGCAGGGATTAGGAGGAGGAAACAAAGATTCACTTTAACATCTTTCTTCCCTAGCTCCAACTGCTTAATAGTCTCTCTGAGAAGCTTTCCCCCACTAATTTTATGAACAACAACACTACTTATACTGCTGGCACTAATGGTGTCATTTCAGGGAGATGTCTCAAATGTTATTAGCTTGAAGCAACACTGGTTTGTAAATGTCAATTAATTTTTATTTAATTTTTTTTTAAAAAAAACCCTATCCAAAAGAAGCAGTGTTTCTCTGAAGCTTCCATATCTGCCTGAATCCCCTTGATTAGAACAGGCTTCCTCAACCTCGGCCCTCCAGATGTTTTTGGCCTACAACTCCCATGATCCCTAGCTAGCAGGACCAGTGATCAGGGATGATGGGAATTGTAGTCTCAAAACATCTGGAGGGCCGAGGTTGAGGAAGCCTGGATTAGAACATCAACATTGCCTAAGAGACCCTAAGACAATGGCCCCCATAAAATGGAAAGCTAGAGAACATTAAAAACGAATAATCTCTTGCCCCAGATTTTTCCAGACTCCAACACCCAAATCTTGGCATGATGACACTAGTCCAATGGACTTAGTATTACATAACGAGTTAACCTGGAATCTTATTAGCATAAGCCTATTAATGTTAATACCACTAAGTAAATGTATCTGGGTATACAGCTGCAGCCTTCCACCCCAAAGCAAGCTTCCATGGAGCTTAGCAGGTGCCAGGACAAGAATGGAGGCATTGAGGACAGCTCCACATAGGCGCATTAGAACCTCAGAACGTGCTCCTGAATTTCTGAATCAAAGCTGTTGCCTTCAGTATTCACAACCCAGAGGGCACAATGCAGACCAGGCATAGACCTTGCATGGAGAGGATATCCTTAAGTACCACCTTCCTCTACCTACAGGTGCGCATGGGCAGGTTGCACAACCGGCTGTTAGTTGGAATGGAGGATCTCTACTCAGTTAAATTCACTCACGTGCCATGGAGGTTGGTGGTGCAAACAGGGGGGTGCATCCATTTCCCCCTAATAGCCTCTTGTACCATCTCACCATGTGCCTATATGCACATATGGAGGGGTGAGAAGGTGGAAGGCTTCTGCTGAGTCCATGGGAATCTTCTGCATATGGATGCTGTGCCTATGGGAAACTGGGGTATCTACAGAGAATGTCCTTCACTCTGCATTCACTTACAATACCCAGCTGATAATAATTTGCAACAATTGGTACCAATTGTGGCTGTTACCAAATGCTGCTTATAACCAGGCCCATGTAGAGCTTGCCTGAGGCCTGGGGCGGGAGTCTTGTTAGAATAAAGTTATAAGCTCAAACCGATAAGGTGACTTCTTTCCATTGGCTTTAAAACAGGAACAGTGAACAGGGTCTCTTTAGCTTGATTTCATGTTTATTCTTAAGAGCCTTGGGCTCATGTGCCGAAAACAGAAAACAATAAGCAGATTCAAATGTGTCAAAAGTTTTCAATATGTTTACCAAAGTTGTCAGTGCTGCAATAACTGGCTTGACTGAAATGTGGCTCTCAATAGGGGCCAATAGACCAACATAGGGCACAACAGCTCTTTAAAATAGCCGGGCTGCGATCTGTATCCTTACACATGGCGCTTGCATTTATAAAAGGGGTGTGATAATCTCGAATAGCATGACACTTTACCTTTAAACCACCCCCTCCTCATCAGAATAAAGTACAGAAGTTCCTAGAAATTTCAAGCTGTGAGCAATAGAAAATGTGATAGTGCCATTAAACTCCAGCAGAGTTTATGACTCTCCACAGGCCCTTGATGAGGAAACAGGTCTTCCTCTTTGGTACAGAAGATACATGCACAGAAGTTGGCGCTTGTTTGTCTTTGTATTCAATTAACTGTTTCATTGTGGTTTTATGACGTCACTGTATCATCAGATTTGCATAATTATATCTGCAAATTGTGCTGGGAGAGGCTTAGGAGGATTGCGGTTATCACAAACAAAGAAAAATAAACCACCCTTCAAAAATAAATAAAAAGGAAATTTGGAAAAGGGGGAAAAATTGTTTGTGTGCAATAGTGAAATGGAAAAATAAGCAATAAAGCCCCTAAGCAGTGGCCTGGATTCATCAGGCTGCCAGTGCTAGACAGAGCAGAAAATGTCAACACCTACATGGGTATGTGCATTCTTTCTTGAAGAGGCAGTAATATTGGAATAAGAGCTGACCGATGATGTTGTGTTCAGATCATCTGTGCTGATGTTATCCAAAGTATCACTGAGGCCACTGCTAACTGAACTGCTGTCATCCCAGCTGCAGGCAGGTGGAGGCGGGGGAGAGAAAGAAAGAGAAGATGAGTATGTCATCTGTTCACAACTTGATGAGAAAATGCAAATAGAAATCAGCTATTTGCCCGCCAAAAAAAGAGGTTAGAAATTAAACAATACCTTAGAAATTTAACATGACATTGTATGTATCATTTTCTAGGTGTTTTTAATTAACCATTCATTTCTTGCTAAAAAAAATGCCTTGCTAGCAACTCCAAAGGGAAGCCATTCAAAAAATGCAACTTCAATTTTTAGCAGGGCCAGGTATATCCGTTGTTAGAGCAGGTCGCTTCATGGTTCGTTGCAATCACCTTTGGAACACTGCCAAGCGAAATTCATTACACCGGCCTTAATTTCTGGCCCTAGTTTTATTATTAAGCTTGAAGCACTTCTATGGGTTTCCCAGGAAAAAGAAAAGAAATATTTCTTTTGGATGTACTCTAACCAACTGTCAAGCCCGATTCATGCTTTTGATCTCAGATTAGGTTTGAAGTTTGTCCACCCTGTCTAGCCAACACCAACAATGCCTGAAGGAGGAAAGCATGATTGCAAAAATGGGAGGATATGCAGTGGACGTGTGTCAGGGAGCAATGATTGGATGCAGATCCTTGATGTAAATCCATTGCACGTTTTCAGCAAGCCTGCACAGCTTGTGACTGATTGATGTAGTGAAGGCTGCCAACTACACAGGGGAGTGACAACCACCCCCTGCTCTGTCCATCTCAGATAAGCAGAAATTTCCCTATCAGAAATTTGCGACTTTTCATGAGATTCCTATAGCTTTCTTCAAAATTCCTCAGATGTTTGCCAAACAGGAGCCACCAAGATTGCTTTGAAATCTCACATTTATTTGTTGTGAGTTACCCTGAGGCGCTTTTTTTTGGTATTTTATAGCATGTGGTAGGACATAAATTGAATGAATAAATTGCAACAGTACTTTGGCCGCAGGACTGAAGCTGAGCAATTCCCTTGTCCCTTATTGATTACTTTCTGCCCCAGGTTCAAAACCACCTATTAAGACATTAATTATCTTTAGTACTCAGTTTTGAGAGGATCTGAGAGTATTTGTGTCCAGGCTTTCCATACTCTCTGTAGACATCCCCCCCCCAATAATAATAATTCAGTAGCACACTTCAAAAACAATTCTGGGCTGTGTCCAAGTTTTAGTTTAAGTAAGAGGTGACCATTAAAAGTAGATATTGAGCTGCTAGATAAATGGAGTTGGGTCAGCTAGATTTTTAGTTGATTTGCACAGTCATGGCAGGCGTTTTACCAACTGCAGACTCCCACATCAAGAAAGAAAGCCACCACACTATGAAAAGCTGTTTTTCACTTGAGTGTACCACATTAGCTTTTTCTGTGACACTTCTTGATGGGTAAGCAAATGCAGCTGTTGCTTCATCTCACAGCTGTTGCATGAACAGTACACCCTCCCCAATCTATTAAAAGAAGCTGGTGGGGTGAGGTGTGAGGTGGCCAGACATGATGGAGCTGAGCGATTAGAAAGACTTCTGCAGGCAGAAACTCAATCATTTGAGGAATGTTTAACAACTGCTGTTTAAAAAAAAATCAAAGCGACTTCATGATTTTTTACAATAAATGTTTAGACTCTTCACTGCTGCCGTATCATGTCAATGATAATGTCCATGTGTAATCGGAAACATGCCATTATCTTAAATAAGAATTTCCCTAAGCAACTGCCTGCGAGATAAAATAATTATCTCCAATTAGAGAGTGCCATTAATTTTGTTTGCTATATTTGCTAGATTTAATCGGCTTTCTCTGAAACTCATGCAATGAACTTATCACTGGGTTAGGTCATCAGAAGTTCAATTCAAGCACTTCATGCTCATCTGATGGGCCAAACTGCATGGAGGAAGATGTGAATTTGAGCAGTCACATGTAAAGCAGGGGCAGGGGGCAATTTAAAAGTATAAAAAGCCCACACAGGCAAGTCTCATCCACTACTTCTTCCTCGGCAGGAAACCTCCCTATAGCTGATTTCTTTACAGCTGTGCTGACCTCTGGTAATGGAGCCTGGAAGAGGGATAACTTCATTTTAAGACCAGGGGGTGGGCTAATCCACGGGCCATATCTGTGCATGAAGCAATTACTGATGCCCCCCAACAATACAGCTTCTGCACTGGTGCAAATGTGAGCAGGAGGTGATGCTGAGCAGCAGGTGGTCTGTTGAGCCCTGTCAGGGTGCTAGTGTGAGCAAAGAGTTTTCAGACCTCTCCACCCAAGACTAGAGCAACGTTGGTGATGTGGACCTCTCCAACACCTTGCTCAACAGACAATGGTGAATAGCAACACTTTTGCCTTCTGTCCTGATTCACTGTGGCTTTCTGCCTTGAATAGCACAGTAGTAGGTGCTTCTGGAGCAATGCAGTGGAATTGTCCACCAAGTAATAATGAGGAGAGTTTTTCCAGCTCGCCAGGAAACCTCCACCTGTCTTTGACAATCTGAGGGTTTTTTCAGTGGAGGAGATTGGAGGAAACTGTCTCCTTTCATTTGCAGGTAGGAAGCGAAGAAATACCCTTTGCTCCACTCCTTCCCCACCGTCACCCCCACCCCCAATTATTGGGCACAAATGAGTTGATTTAACATGGAATAAGGAGGGAAGGGAGCGTGGGAATCTAAAATGGAACAGCAGAAGAATTTAACAAAATAAGGGGTGGAGTGCATATAGCTCGGTAAATTTAATTATTGATAACATATTGAATCAATAAATAAGGGAGAGAGGAATTTTGGCTTTGGTTATGCTCACTTTAAACTTTGGCCACACCTAGCTTTACACTCCAGCCACACCCACTTTGACATGTGGCTCCCAAAAGGTTTGCCCTGGATCTTTGTGGCCCTCAACCCAAAAAGAGTTAGCCATGTCATCCCTGTTTTAGGAAATGGACTACAGTTTAGGGAAGGAAGAGAAGTAGCAGATAGGGGGAAGAATTCTGAATCCACAGACAAAAAGGTTCCTCGTGTACTTTAAATCACCTTTTCCCATTTTCCCACTTTATAAGTGAGTCTAATTTTAAATTAGCTTTATTCCCACCTTCTATCCCGAGCTAGTATTTTCAAGTGGCACATTTATCTAGATAGGAATAGGCTTTTTTTTTTTTTAACCATCACTTGTGAAAACACCTTTAAGATAAACACCTACAAGTTTTGAAGGTCAGGTGTTAAGCAGTTTTGCCATTCTAGAACTATACAGTACACAATGACAGAGGTAAATGTGTTCTTTTACAGATCGATAGTAAGGTGAAGAATCTTGGGAGTCTGGCCTCATAAGCAGCTTTGCTCATTAAACAACAACCTAAATTTAGCCATCGAGCTGAATTAGGGCAGGAAAAGGACTTTATAACTGATTCACTAACTTCCTTATGAATTATTTCTAGCTTGTTAAGGTGGACAGATAAGAAAATAATTGGAGCATTTTACTGAGAAAACCTCTCTGTAATATACCATTAAACATCAATTGCGAAGGCTGCCTTCATCACCATGACACCAAGTTCGATCCATCAACCATTTTTGTGTTCAGTCATAAATGAGTCATAAAGCAGCAGCACTACCCCTGTCTAGTCAGATTCAAGATGGCACAGACTACATAAAAATCAAGCCACTGTCTGTACAAGTCAGACTAGACAATGAATCCTTCTAGAAGTTTATAACAGCTATTCTATCTTCATAGGCAAATGCCTATGAAGGCCGTTAGACTCATACTTTACCTTCCTTTCCACAGCAAGCGTAATGCATTACCTGTCATTTTCAAGCATGGCAACCACTGAAGCATAAATTCCCTATAACTTCAGGGTCATAGAATATATTTCATCACCATTTTCACAGCTAAATTGTATGTGGCTAGGAAAAAAATAGGAATAAACTAATGGAACCACCACTGTCTATTACTCTTTAAGGTACCTTTCCCTGTAGGTTTAGGAAAAATGGAAACATACAACAAAATAAAATGAGGCATTTTACCATTTAATAAAAGGGCATCTTGTTTTACACATGAAATTATCCCCTCAACTATTTCTGAGTCACCACATGTAGTAAACAAATATGTAGAACCAGGGTTTAAAATTCTCTGCCTGAAATAAGATATATATTCTGCAAGAGCAGCATGGGAGAAACTAATCTGCTGATTCAATTTTAATTGGGAGTCAAACTTTTTAACTTTGATTTCTGTTTGAAATAAGAGTACAACTGGAGTATTACAGGTATCTGACAAAGTTATCTGTTGAATTGGTAACAAAGTCAAAATGAAACAGACTGCCCCTAGATTCTCAAATATTAAAAAGTGGCAAACAATATGTTGTTCATTATCCTTCATCATATTCAAAACAGAATAGTGGCATAACATTTAAGTGGATTTCAAAAATGTTTAGCTCTAGATATGTATCACACACACACACACACACACACACACACACACACGGAAGAGACCTACTGGATCAGGTCACGACTCCCCCTAGTCTAGCACTCTGTTCTTACATTGGCCAACCATACAGATACCCATGGAAGACCACAAGCACACATATACACAAAGTTAAACACAATGGAAGAATTCCATCAAGAAATTCCATAAAGAAATTACAGTGATGTATTAATAACCCACAGGAACAACACTTCAGCTAAAATTACCGCTCAGATGCTTTTTGTTTAGTTGCAAAACATACAGCTTGCAGCCAAGAGAGTGTTTACATTTTTCACACACAGGTGCTGACAAGTTAATTAACACAAGTTAAATTTAGGCCAAAATGCGGGAGCTCACAAATGAGCAAATCACCTTGATTCTTTGTTTTCAGTTATTAAGTAAAATAACTTTCTGCTTCTTCCCATTTAATATTTAACTAAGCACCTATTTGTTGGTTTATCAAAAACTGTCTGTGCAAGACCTTAAAAACGAAGGCAGCAATACTCCATATATATTGGATATATATTTTATTTGCTTACTTTCTCTTCCTATGTATGAAATATTAAAG